CCCAGCTCTGCCAAAGTGGCTAGCCCCTCCACCCCAGCTGTGGTTAAATCAAGCCCATCAGAAAGCAGCTTTCTGCCCCATTCATCCAGCCGTAGGCCACGCACACACTTGTCCTGCCTACAGTTGTCGATTCTGCAGTCCTGTTACGAGACCTGTGCCCATCCTAATGCCATGGAGTGTGAGGCAATTGGCAGTGAGCTCAACCTACCGCTCAAGGTAGTGCAGATCTGGTTCCAAAACACCAGAGCCAAGGAGAAGCGCTGGAGGCTGCAGCAAGAAAAAATGGTATGTGGACTTTGGTATTTTCATTTTAATGTTATTCTATTTTTAAGTCTTTTGTAGAAAATCTGATTACTGTGCACATGAGAGAGTAATAAAATACACAGCAAGCCAAGTAACTGAGACTATTTTATTTTTTATAGGCTGCTTAATGCCTTTATGTGATAATTGGGCAATAACTTAACATTTTTGACTTTGTCAAAGTGGAATTGTATTGTGATGAATTTGTGTTTATACAAAATTTTATATTTAATTTTATATTAAATCAGAAAATCTGTATTCACATTTTGATGAGTTCAACTTTGTGTCCTAGCCCTATTTTACTCAAGTCTTATTTTTTCCCTCTGACAGCAAATGTGTTTGAGTTCTGAAAATCCTGTCCATCAACATTTAGCATTTTTAACCAAAATATTTCATATTAATGTAATTGTGTTATGTAATGAATGATCAGAGAACTAATTTTAGCGCTCAAAATGTAGATAGACACTTTTCCATAAAAACATAATTTATTACAGTCAAAAATAGATACTTAATTATATAGTGGACTTGCATATTCTCTGATTCACTAAAACTTGTAACAAAATTCAGATCTTAACAGATTTGGCATTAAACTTTTTCCCTCTCTGGTCCTGTCTATCCACCCCTCCTTCCCGTTTTCAGTCTCCTCTGTCAGGTGGAAAGGTGGACATGAGCTCAGGAAGCTACTTGCAGTACAACGCTCTCAAAGCCAATCGTCCCATCCTGCCCAAACCTGTTCAGCTGACAGTTACTGAACCTCCTGCTTCCCCAGTGGCTGGCCAGCCAGTGCCAAAGGAGACCCTGACAGGCCGCTGTGATGCCTGCAGTGTCTCCTTTGAATCCCGTGCTGCAGCGAGGGCCCACGTCTTTTCCCCACGTCATCTGGCAACCTTGAGAACCACTAACTTTGGCCAGCCGACGACACTCGTCAACAAGAATGGCACCGGAAATGGTGGACCTGGCAGTGTTGTGCCGGGCTCGCAGGTCTCTCATTCCACTACAGTAACCAGTTCTGGTGCTGGTTCTGGAGGGGAGATGGTTATTGAGTCGCCTCCACCGACGGCCACCAGCAGCAGTTAAAGACTCAGATCAGGATTGGTCTGCACACTGACTATTCTTGGACCCATTTGGGCTCCTCAGATTTTAATAAACAAATTTGAGCACTAATTCTCAAAAGCTATTATTGTTTAGTTTTTGAAGCTGGCTCCTCCTGCACTCGCTATCCTTTGCTCAGCCTTCATTGACTTGATATCCGTTAATAGAGTTCTCCTGGAATCCAACATAACAGCAGACTATTTTCACGCTGCTTCTCACTACATCAGCTGCTGTCTGATAAGTGATGAACACGTCAAGTCTCTTGATCCTCACACACTTTATCCAAACACTTTTGGTCCTAACCCTGTGGTTATATATTACCTTATTTCAGTGACCTTCCTATAATTTGTAAAGGCACTCAACTTGCCATGCTTGAGCTGTCCTACCTTAAAGACTGATGCAAAAGTGTTTCCTCTTTGAAAGTGGCCATTTGACAGTGGGCCCGGGAACACTTTTTGGGATAATAACATGAAATACTCACAGTGAAAACTCCCAGTTTGCTCCTGTGGAATTGTTTTTCTTATGCCCCCTTTCCCTTCTAGAGCAAAGATTGCTTGGATAAAACATGACTGGACTGAACCAACGGGAGAGGAAGAACTGGTATTGATTGTCACTTTTTAATTTGCAATGGAAGTGTCTTCTGAAGGGTGTTGTGTCTTCTCATTTGGGATATAAGAGGTACTTCAGAGAGAATAGGGCTGTTGAATTGTCCCCATTTACATGTTCACAGTTTTCACGACAATCCAAATAGAGCAAAAAGAGGCTGAGGAACGCAGAATCCTGGCATACCGCACTTTGACACATTTTACATTGTTTGAAATGTTTTTAAGCATTCTGATGCAAGTGTCTTTATTGAAAGATACATCAATGCATGTTGGATGCCTTAATATAAATCACGTGAAATAAATTGATTTTTTGCTAGTCTAATGAAACACGCTTTAGGTGTGAGCATAATATTGTGGATGAGGCAGACCTGGGAACAAATGGAGAAGAGCTCTGTTCCAAAATGCTTTTAATGTATTTCTGGGGGAAAATCTGTGAATGTCATATTCTTTTTCCAGGACATAAATCCTGCTTGCAAAGTTCTCATCACTCTCATGGCCAAGGACTTAAAATACCAACTATCTTGCTTTTACAACAAATTTCTTTGATCCACCCAAATGTGTACATGTTAGAATACAGCTCTTCAAACCTGTTGGAAGATAAATGTTTTCACCTACCGTAGATGTGTTAGAAATATGACAGCCTTAAGAGGAAACACCACCAGGTATAGCAAGTCAAACCCAGGTGATCCTCATAAAATGTTAGTGAATTTCATCCACATCTGACACGGAGGCTGAGACTGATTGCATAAATTTTACAGTTTTTGTTTGCCATGAATACTGTGCATAAGACAGGAAAATTAAGGTCTTATTTTATTCACTTCAGTATTTATACAAATGACAGTAGAAGCAATTAAAACTTGGTGTAACAGATTTTTATTTAGGTCAAAACTAAATCTCTCTATAAATACAAAGAGAAGGGGGCATGAAATGGGCTTTCCCATACTTTTTCTGCCGAACACTTGGTTCAGTTACTAATTCTGGTAAAGTATGTGCTGTGAAATGAGATCTGACGTCTGGAAACCCTGACAAGGGAGAAAGTTGGGTATTACCAGTATCCTTAAGAGACTAATGGATACTTCAATAAAGGAAGCAAATTGGGAAACATTAAATGTGTTGACTGAGAGCTAATAAGATGGTGCTGTGTTGAAGGACACATAACATACTAAAGATGTTTTCCTTCAATTTAAGTTGTATATTAATGTTACTATTGATAGTTTTAACAAAATGCAAAACTAAAACCTGAACTTTTGTAAAGAAATATATAAAAAATAACTGATATTCCAAAGTAATCCTCCCTTTGCTTTCTGTCATTCAAAAACCAAAAAGCAATCTTGAGGTCGACAGAGAGCAGGAGAGGTGTTTGTAATGCAAACTGCTACATCCCACAGCTTGACACTTGCACTAGTCCACGATTTTTGCACAAGCTACAGACGTTTCAGATGAACACAGCCATTAACACGACATTAAGAGTCACTTGGTGTGGTTTTTAAAACAAGGAGGGGAACAATGTCCTTAGTAATCTGTACTCCTGTTGGAAACTGTATCTTGTGTGTAAAGCAAGGACTGCAGTGCTTGGACCTCAAGACTGGGATCTCTCTCTCTCTCTCTATCTCTATCTCTATCTCTATCTCTATCACTCACACTCACACACACACACACACACACAGACACGGTGTTGCACTGTCCAAAATAGATAGGTTTTTATGGAGATCTGCTTTTTATTCTTGTTTATGTTTTGTCACTTTGATTATCACTATTGTTATAACTGTACTACTACTTATACAATTTATCATTACTACTCATCACTGTTTTGATTATTATTGATCAATAATGGTTTTAAATGCCACCTCTGCTCAGAATGAGTATGGTATTCCTTTGAATATTGAACAATAATAGTGGCAGTGTTGTTATGACTTGTTAGATTTTTGATTAAGCTTATTTTTCCTCCTCACTTGTACCTGCCTTTTTGTGTTTGGTCTCCATTATGCTTTCTTTGATATACAGAAAAAGAAATAAAATCAGTTCAACAACAAAGCACATCTGTGCGGTGGGGGCATTTATTAGTTCTTTTTTGTTTGACACAGGTCTAAATTCATCATGTAAACAGTGCATACACTGTTCAGGTGTGTTGTACTGGTTTAAATTGATCATGTTATTCATCATGTAAGCAATATATGCTCAGAGGTGTTGAACTGGTCTAAATGAATATAAACATTGGACGTTCAGTCGTTACAAAACATGGCGAATTTTTATTTGTACGGAAAGAGTCGTACGTTGAACAGTGGCACGTTATTTTAAGCATGTGCACTGCCATTTTAATACGGCGGGGTTTCTACACAGGTCTGCTGATTGGGCAACACCTCTGATACACCCACCAAACGAGAGAAACATTACCCCACAACCCGTTTCACACTGTTTATAGAAAACATTTAATCTAATCGGGAAGCCGTAGCAGCTTGAACGTGCCCCAGGTATATGACACAAGTGTGGTCATACAGTTCCTATGACTAACTGAAATATTGCTTGTTACCAATCTGATCAACGATTGGCTCTGTCAGTTGACCTACGACAAGGTTTGATTGACAGAAACCTAATCCAATTAAATTGTGCGTGTGTGCGCGCGCGCGTGTGTGTGGGGGGCATCCAATAGGGACACTGCAGACGCCAAAGAGGTTTGTGACGAGCCGTGCGCTGACGAATAAGATTGAGAGTTTAACGGCCGCAGTGCCGCGTGACTCCGCCCCCGGCTTCCATGTCTGGAGTGGAGGGACGGCTCCGCGTCCTAGCCTTTATGTGTACACATTTTAGTAAATAAACCGGGAACTGGGACCAGTATCTGGAGGCAGCGGGACCAACGTCAGTCCGTGATCATCGTGGTGTGCTGTTTGAGTACTGGCTGGAACTGTAGCTCACAGTTTATTCCCCATTTTAACTTTACTGAGCGGCGTTTTCCGCCGTTTTTTTCTCTCCGCCGCCCCGTTCACTCTAACTTAACCCCCACCCCCCACCCCCCTCCGCGTGAGAGTCGGGGCCTGTAGCATTGGTTTGACCACGAGGAGCGTCGGTACAGCTGGAATTCGGCGATGGCGGAGTTCGGTAACGGACTGGCGGAGGAATCCCTACTAGATTCAGACCCCGGACACCCCGAGCTCGAAGACCCGGGCGTCGGTGACGAAGAACCGGGGTTAGAAGAGGGAGAGGCCGCGATCGAAGACCCGGTAAGTGAAGGGCATTGTCTGAACCTTGGGAGCCCACATGGAGACCGGGGTACGCGTTGATCATATCGGATCGGTAGTGTAAGCGGTCAAATGGTTTTGTCGGGTTGTTTTTTCCAGTAATTTGGGGTCACATGCCGTGTGCGTTACTGCTGTCGCTTGGTCGACATTAACCGCCATTGTGGTTCACGCAGTGCAGTAGAAATGGGTGGTGACATGCGTGGTGTCGGCAGCCATTTTGGCGCAACAGTGGCGCCAGTTTCCCTGCGCCAGGGAGCAGCTAGAGCAGCTGGGGAAAAAATCCTCGTCGCAAAAAAAAAAAAAAAAAAAAAAATGCCAGACGGAGAAGCAAGAGACAGTTAGGGGCGAGGGTAGGACAGGCCGCCGCCGTTACCTACCGCTGTGCGAGTCCACCTGCTTTCGAAGGCGACTTGCTTACGGTAATGGCATGTTTTATTCCCTGTACCGTAACCATGATGCAGCCCACAACTCCATCTCAAGCGCCGATGTATGCTCGTGCAAATGATTCGGTGGCAGCAGGCTAACATTGGCCGGTCGTGGCATCAAGTGCTGCAACTGAAATGACCAGCGACCTGTCGGCCATTATCACCAACCACGACATAAATGCGGGATTTGCACCTGGAGTTGCCGTTAGCCTGCAAGCTAGAGTCATTTCTATAAGATACCGGAACCCTGACGAGCCAACAAGCCAGCCGTTTCTAACAAAGCCGGGGTGGAGATGGCTCACCGGCACTTGACCACCTCTGTCGGTTACTTTGGATGACGACGGGTGTTGGGCGTCAGCGGGGCATTAGACCTGTCGTGTGTGGTGGTGGCACAGGCAGGGATTCTCGGCCTACATCAATTTAGTATTTATTTCTTGATGGTGCAGCAGGTCCAGGTGGGTTGGAGGATGTAGTACGGGCAGACGACGCAGAAGTAGCAAGCTGCAGTATTTGAGGGGCTGGGTTTGCATCCTGCACTGTAAAAGCAAGGAGAACGCGAGGGGGTGGGGGTTGGCACTAAATATGCGACAAAAAACAGGAGCTATAGCGGGTCAGCACCGGGTGGCTCATTTCAGCAATCCTGCTGTGAGTGTGGATTACTCTTTCCTGGTCCGTGATGTGGATTTGTAGTGGCAGCTTGTTGACATCTGATGCGACAGGTTATCAGGCACATGATGGTACCATCACGAACAATATGTCATTGTGCAGGTTTACTACGTTTATTATATCATGGTTTGTCAGTCTCCCTGCAGCCATTTGTACATTACAAATCGTCGGCAAACGCAGCAGCCCGGGATGGAACTGGAGTGATTGCCACTGTGCTGCAGTGCACCACTGTCAGACAGGAGGGTCGGCTCCAATCTCCGCGCTCACCACAGGAATATTTGATTACTTGGCAGCCATTGTTGTGTGGGTTTCACTTTAATCCGATCTCATTACTCCAAATATATTTCCAGTTGATATATTGTCTTTACTGATTAATATACAAATAATTTATAGATGTGTTGAGTACTCAAGTAAAACATTAGCAAATGCCCATAGTCAAGTGCATGGTCACAAATTAAACAATGAGTTGTGTGTGGAAATTTGTCATGATTATTTTTGTATACTTAAGATTTAATTGTCATATCGGTTTTGTGTTGTCTGTAATGCTGTTTCTGAACATTGGCTCTATACTCATTGAGAAGTGACAGCAAATGTGTAAACTGAATAGGCCATACTGACTGTTAGTTGAATGCTACTGCAACATGTCGGGCTGGATGAGTTACTTTATCTAATGGCTCTAAGTCACCTTTCCAGTTGTAGGAGGCAGTGGCAATCCCATTCAGGCTGGAGGTGGGAAAACACTGTAAAATGTGTGGAATGAGAGGTAGTGTAACTATAGTGAAGGTGCAGAATTTTTCTTTGAAGTAGTCCAAGTGTGTGGTTTTCCCATTTTGGCAGAAACACACACTTACATGTTTTAGATTGAGGTCATGTTATGATGGCACCTTCACTCAGAGGTTCAGGATCTTGCTGCTGTACCATTCTCACTACTGTGCAGTTATCAGAGGTTATTATGGCACATATTGTTAATGATAGATTTTTTTTTTTTGATTTCTAGTTGGTCAGTACTTGTTAGTGCAACCAGTATCATTGTTTAATTATTAGACGTGTTAATGTTTCAGTGTATTCTGTTATGAGCTCTAATTGAATTTGTGTTCATGCAGGAGCTGGAGGCAATCAAAGCTCGGGTCAGAGAGATGGAGGAGGAGGCAGAGAAGCTGAAGGAGCTGCAGAACGAGGTGGAGAAACAGATGAATCTCAGCCCCCCACCAGGTGTGTTTTTTTTCAGGGGTAGACCTCTTTTTTTCTCCCCATCTGTTCACATTTCCTCTCTCTCTGCCATGTCATGTTTTGTGCCTAAATTTAATCTCATATAGATAAGTACTGCACTCACTTGTGATCCCTAACTACTAACTTTTAATTGAAGATATTCACCCAGTTGTAATTTTTTTTAGGAACACCTAGCTAAAACAAATGCAGTCTTATATGGCAGTTCTGTAATAAATCCTCCTGTATGAATGTAATAATAATTGTTACTATTTAGCCTACTCTCATTGATATTAATGGGGTGGACACAATAATGGAAAACACAGATAGCAGCACAAACTACAGCCTCCAAGATGATCAGTTGAATTAACCTTTGTTTCAATAAAAACGGAACACTATAACCTCCATGAAGGATAATTTATTGTAGGACTGTAGCATTAGACTGCATTAGTTTTAGCTCAATGGACCTAATAGACTGTCAACTGAGTGTACATTAATATATGAGTTCTAGTTGGTGCTTGTTTACAGCTTGTTTGGGCCTTTTATACATTGTCACGTGTTTTCCAGTTGTTTTATTTGTGTACCTGATGTTGTATTGAAACTTGTAAGTGTAGTGTGCAGAATTATGAGACTAGAATTACCACCTCTTTGTTGTATGCTTCTGCCAACCGGTCAAGTTGCAGTTTATATCCACCTTTGTGCAGACTCATAATATATGTAGTGAAGTCTTTGATGGAATTTAATAGAAGGGTTTCACTTTATTTTCTCATAATAAGCATATGAAAACATGTTTTGTGAGGTTACAGTTACCTTGACTTTTACCACCAAAATCTAATTAGTTCATCCTTGAGCCCAAATAAATTTGTGCCAAATTTGTAGAAATTCTCATACAACGTTCCTGAGACATTGCAGGTATGGTGGGATTTCTTCCTTTGAAACTATTTTTTTCAGTTAGTCTGTAATAGTTTACACACAAGGTCAATCACAAGTCACCGTAGTTCATTGTTTATCTCTAGCCTAGAGACTGTGCAGCAGCTCCACTCCCACCAGCAGTAACCATAGTATCCAAAGTTACAGCAAGGCTCTTATCAGTAGCAAGCGTAGGGAGATGTAAACATTTGAGGGAGAGCACAAGGCGTCTTAGAGTCCCAGGGGCAGGTAGTATGCATCATCTTTATTAGGACAAAAGTAAAGGAAGATCCTCAACATGAGTTTGGTAAGACATGAGGTCTTGCTTAGGTTTAGGGATCCAATAGAAGTTTCACACATGTATATGGGATAGTCTTTACTTGGGAATATAGTTGGAGACAAGCAAGCTTGAGCCATGTGAGAACCCGTGGGTTTATTTACAGCTTCAGTTTTGGGGTGGCATGACACTAGTTGACCTGTTGATATCTGTATTTATCCATTACCTATCTCCTTGATGCATCAAGCAACAATAAATACTTCTGCTCAAGACATTGGACGTCTCCTGAAAACTCTTTCATCCAGCTCACAAGATTTCACACTTGATTTAATGATAGAAAAATTGCAAATTACTGCAGTGTGCTGTTAGGAGGTTTCTACACTAAAAAAGCCAGACACCTTGTCTTCAGTCAACCGCCAATGGGGAATGTAATGTTGCCTTCAGACTTATGCTTAATGCACCACTCTTCCATTCTTGTAATGTGATGTATTTCTTTATACACTCATGGTTTCATAACATGTTCTTTAGGAAACTGCAGTTCTGGGATTAATTGAAATATTTTGTTTCTCATGTAAATTTGTTTTTCTCCTCTCCCCTCTGTGCAGTCGGCCCCGTCATCATGTCCATCGAGGAGAAGATGGAAGCAGACGGCAGATCTATATATGTTGGAAATGTGGGTAACTGTCTCTCGTCTCTTACAGAGGCTATTTTGACCACATTTGTGTCATTGCACCTTTTTAGATTTTCTCCCATTCTTCTTTGCAAAACCACACATGCTCTGAACTAAGACAGTGACTTAGTCAAAAGGAGTTTCAAGTCCAACAACAAATGTTGGATTTAAATCTTTGTCACTCTAGGACCACTCTAGGACTTAAATATTGTTTTTGTAGTATTCAGAGAACTTTGCAAGACAAACTTCATTACTTTTGTAGCTTTGCCATTATATCTGGGTTTCTGGAAAAAGAACCCCAAGTGCAGTGTTTGGATTGTACCCAACACAGCTCAAAGTGAGCTAAATTTTGATTCCACAAAATAAAGTCTTCCATTCAGTTTCCTGTGTGCCTTCTGTCAAGTAGAGGCTATTCTGCCATAATGCTGTGAACTGGTGAAGCACCTGGCCAACACTTATTTTATCTCCAGGCTCAGCCATGGAGTCCTGCTGCTCATTCAGAGCTGTCTGTTAGCCTCCCCCACAATCCCCTGTCTCTCATTTTTTTTTTCTTAAAGTCACATGCTGTTGTGACGTCTAACATGTTATCTTTTGTGTCTGCAGGTGGACTATGGTGCCACAGCAGAAGAGCTTGAGGCTCACTTTCATGGCTGCGGTTCAGTAAACAGAGTCACCATCCTGTGTGACAAATACACAGGGCATCCCAAGGGGTAATAACCACTGTTATACCTCTTCACTATGTAGCAGATGAATGTGTGGATGACAGGTTATGTGGCGAATATACCACAGGCTCACTGTGGGTGGACAGATTATTGTGCATCAATACTGGATCAATGCAGTATCAATATTAGTTGGTATGACTGTAATAAACCAAGATGTTCTCTGCATGAGTGATGCTGTTGTCCTTCTTTAGGTTTGCCTACATTGAGTTTGCAGACAAAGAGTCTGTGAGGACAGCCATGGCTTTGGATGAATCCCTTTTCAGAGGAAGGCAGATAAAGGTAAGAGATTTTCACATTTCAGTTTTTTAATATTTCCTCTTTTAATGGAGAACAGCCGAGAGGTTTACGCGTCCAAAAAAATGGAAAGAAAAGTGACACCATTGTGAGAGGAAATTAGGAAAATGGGAACATGACTGTTTTTTAAATTTTCATTGCTCAGAAACAGTTTCGTCGTCATTGAGAATGGTCTAATTTAGAATACTTGGTGCATTTACAAAATTAACCGAATGGAAGTGAAGTAGTCACAGCTGGAGAATCAGCACTGTTGGCTACATGTAGCAGCTGCTGATGGAGTAACAGGACAGGATGGATCACCCTGGGTTTGTCCTGAGAGGGTACCCTTTCCTTTGTTCTTATGGAAATATGTTTACCAACCTTCATGCTTATTGCTCGATCCAAGAACAGTTAACATTACAGGTAGACTCTAGAGCAGCTAATTTTACAGGTTCTTCCTTCTTCTGTAGGTAAAGTGTTCTAATACTGGTGGCAAATGTGTAGTTTGGTTTGAATGGTGAGGCTTTATATGCTTTTGTTACTGTGACACATGATTGGAACTGCTGATACTGGAAAGTGTTGGAGTAAGGTTTATTTAATCTCTCACTAAAATAATTAGGAGTTATTAGTAATTAGAGTTAGTTTATACATTGAAGTATTTGCTTTCAACCTGAAAACATGAAAGCTGTTAGAAGTAGGACACTCTGGATTTTGTTGTTTCTGTAACCATTCCCTGTTCAATCCTTGCTCCTCAGGTGGGCGCTAAAAGAACAAACAGACCAGGTATCAGCACCACAGACCGCGGTTTTCCACGAGCTCGCTTCCGATCACGGGGAGGAAGCTTCTCATCGCGTGCACGCTACTACAGTGGCTACACACCACCCAGAGGCAGAGGACGGGCCTTCAGGTGAGCTGAGGCCCAGACACCTCACCTCTTGCACCTGGGACAACACTGCACCTGCATCCACTGTTGGCACTGAAAGAGGGAGAGGACAAATGGCACAAACAAGCATGACCAGAGTTTGAAAATTTACATAGAAATGCAACTGTGATGAGTATTATTTAGGTTTTGTTGTATTGAACAGGGATGCAGCTATGGAGAAAACAAGAACTGGACAGATGATAAACTTTCCCACTGCAGATTAGGTTGGAGTATAGTCAGGGTTCACACTGTCCTTTTATATATTTAAAGAACAGGACAAGGAAGCAGATGACTGATCACCAGCATTTAATATATTTGATAGGAAAGCTCACAGGGAAACAAGGAATTGGGTTCATAAATCAAGAATTTGACAGCTTTTACATCAGTTACATTACCCTCTGGTAAAGCACCAGGCTCTGCCGTTGGAGAAAACAGGTGCACTTGTACGTCATGCTCCTGGTAAAGCCTGTTTAGGATGTTTTTGATTAAGGTTGGTTGATTCTTTATTTTTTTCTTTATTTTTTTTTTGTAAGCCAGCAAAATTGCCCAGTGGGTAACTCAGTGCACACCAGTGTCCAGACTTCTTTTTTACTCTAGACCTAATTGGACAGAATTGTTTGTAAGAAAAGGATTTTTAAAAATGTGAACACAATGAAAGGAAAGATTGGCCGGACAAGAAAAAAAATTGGAGATGAGGAGAAAAGAATCTGAGATAGTGTAGAGAAGGTAAGTACCCAAGGGCCAGAGAAGAAATCTGAGCATTGTCCAAAGAGGTAAACATTTCTAGATGCCCTGTTTGAAATCTGAAGTGTCTAAATATTAATTCCCATCCTTAAGTGTCCAGTATAAACAATGAGTCTAAGATTTGTTAGAAATGAAATCACATTTCATCATGACACTTACTTCAGTATTGGATGTAATTGAGTACTGTGGATTATTCATCATGTAATAAACAAATTGTTATCCACATTGTATTAGAGCCTGTAATAGAATGTCATATCACATTAGTTGTGGGGCTGAGGGCTCATTGCATGAAACATCACATAAAACCATTACATTGAAGGCGAACAGGCTCTGTGCACATCAGCCTGTTCTTCACAGGTCTTCTTAGGTAACGGAAAGGTACTGGTGCAAAGCTAGACTTACTGGTTTTCCATTTTCTAATATGTAACAGGGTTTACGTAGTGTAACCTGATGACATTACTTTAGTCTGCTGCAGCACTGGCCTGGCGTTGATCAGTGTTGTGCACTTGGATTCTGGTGGTGGTCTATATACAGGGTCTCTTTGTTTTGATGGGCTTTACCTAAGAGCTCTGTTATGGGGCCTTTTTTCTACTGCAAGGCCACATCTGGTGTGTTTATAGCAGGTGATTAAATCACTTTGCAGTTAACTTTAAACTGGAGCTGCACAGTTCCTATAGTTGAAATGATTTTGGGTGTAATGAACAACAACCAACTGCCCCTTTTATGTAAATGCATCATAGGCAGCTACAAGTAATTTCACTCTATATAAGCCCCATGGTGGAGCTCTGTCTCTGAAGCCGTCTTGGTTTTTTCTGTTGAGACAGAGGTGTCGTGCGAGACATGTTGATCAGCATGCCAGCTTCCTCTCACATGCACAGAGCTGTGACACAAAGATTCTTATTCTAATCTGGATCCTGCAGGCCTTAGCTCTTGTCTTATACTTTAAATTTATCAAAGAGCATTTTCAGAAGGAAGATGCTGTAGCAGTTAAAAGCCCTCATTTAGAGGTCTCTTATTTCAGCAATAAACAGTTTGCAAAGTTGTTCTGATAAGCCTGTTTACTCAGTTTTATCTTTATCTTGTGTTTTTCTTCACTTACTCTAGACCAGAGTATCTATTCAATGAATTCCCATTTGAGCAATGCTGCCTTTTTAAAAAAAAAAAAAAAAACCCACAAGGAGGGTTATGTCTCTGTTCATTCCTTTATGTGAGAAAGTGTCTGAAGCTCAAGGTCAGAATCTCTCTAATCACTGTGTACTCCCACACATACCCAGTTCACTTGCTGGGATTTGGCCCAAGCAGAAGGACAAGGCAATAAGTCGATTTGATATTAAATCAAGTCTCCAGCTGCTAAAAGTACTGATACCAGTGGGTAATTTAATTACTCTCAAATACTTATTATACAGATTATTTGTATTTGATTTTAAAAGCTTTAAGTAGGTTGTTGGTTTGTATGCTTAGGTAAGACATACTGTGCTTGTTGAACTTGCAGTTATATGATAATGAAAGTAAAAAAAAAAAAAGGTCCATTGACCCCAAAAGGCTGTACTAGAAACACATGAAGGAACAGTTAAAGGTTTTAGATATGTTGACAGTCGTATCAGTCGGTTCCAAGGACCTGAGATGATTTTTTTGTTGTTGCCATTAGTAATTTGACTGCACTGACTGTACTCCCAAACAAAACAACCCACTGGGGTACAGTGTATCATCCCACTCTCTAACAGCAACGGTTAACATGTACTCATCAGCCACAGATAATAGTATGCAGAGAAGCAGAGTTCTTCACTTGAGCTGGCCTTGATCACTTCTTGCAGATGAGAGCTGTTACATCAGGAATTCATCACTAGTCTGTTTAAGACTGAGCTGCACTTGAACAAAACCAGGCTCTGATCTGAATCTAATAACGCTTCTCGCTGGTGCCTTGTCTTGTTGTGGGAACACATCCATGGTGAACAAACAGTCTGTTCAGAATCTTTGCATTAACCTGTCGTGAGCTTGGGAGGATTTCAGTGCTTGGCTCTAATTCTGCACAGTAAGAGTGATGTTTGATTAAAGTATGAAAATGTTGATAGGCTTTGTTTTATAAGATGTAAGTGTTACTGTTCAGGCTTGGGAGAGCCTCGTCTGCTGGTTTGCTAGGAGTACATAGCCAAACAGTGGCATTTGTGTAACACCACAGACCTTTGCAGCCTTTCTTAAAAAATGGCTGCTGGCTGCAGAAATTGTGCCCTCTGTTTTCACATCCATTAACATTGTTGATCTTCCCATGTTGGCGCAGTGAAAAGAAAAGATTTTAATGCAAGCTAGAAGATGCTCAGATTGTGCTCATGATGTGGTAGTAGCTTTTTGTTTTCCTGTGTTTTGCATGTACATGAACTTACATGCACGCACACACTTGTACTCAGATTCACCTTAATAGTGTTCGCTCCCAGAAATTAGGGTTCATTACTGCAGCCTGACCTCAGCATCTAGCCTACGACAACTGGTTTCAGTCCCAGTGTGACCTGTTTGTTTACCACTGAATGTTCTGTGTGTGAGTCTACGTGTCCGTCTACAGTTGTATGGATAAAATTTCGTTTGAAACTATCATTGAGGACATTTTGGCCAGTCCTCACACCCTGGTGATGGTTCAGACTTGGTTTTTGGGGTCAGGTTAGAATCAAGATTTAGATTAGGGGTGGGGTTATGGTTAGGCATTTAGTTATGTTTAGGGTAAGGGTTAAGGAATGCATTATGTCAATGAGTGTCCTCACAACTAACATAAGGTGTGTGTGTGTGTGTGTGTGTGTGTGTGTGTGTGTGTGTGTGTGTGTGTGTGTGTGACAGATGCCTGGCGATGTGGGGAAGGTCTGCTGCTTCCCTCTGTGTGTCTGTCTGTTAGGTGATGTATGAGTCTATAAAAATGGTGCAGTTGTGAGTCCTGTCACCCACCTTGTCAGGTGTGTGTGTGCACAATGTCTTGCTGGGGTTTGTGTGGTGCTGTTTGTCCTCACGGTGTTTCCCCACAGTGACCCCAGAGGCGGCTCTCACACAGAGAGAGAGAGAGAGAGAGAGAAAGAGGGAGAGAGAGGGCCTTTGCTGTCCCCTCAACCCCCCATCCCCCCAATCATTTTCTCCTCATATCTGGAAACTAAACACTTTTCCTCTCTTCATAATGCTGACAAAGCTGCTCTCAGCTGCTTTCAGCGCTCTAGTCTTTTTTTCCACACTGATTAGTTGTAACACAACAAAGGCACAATACCTGTAAGATGGTATAACATCTCTGAACACACTGTTATCACTATATTCTGTCCCCATCAGCAGATCCTTCCTCTGTTCACCAGCACACACAGTAACACATATCTATTATATAATATTTTATGACATCACACCAGGAAATTGGTGTCGTCTTCTTAAGCCAACCAGAAAAAAACTCACCCTCTTTTTCTCTCTCTTTTCCAGGGGCCGAGGGCGAACAACATCGTGGTATTCCCCTTACTAAACACCCCCCTCCCTCCCCAACACTCCCTTACTATCAACCCTCTCCCCCTCTCTGTTCCCATTCAAAAAAACACACACACACACACACGCACACACACAATGAAAAAAAGTCTCCCCCTCCCCAACATTAAAAGAAGAGACCCCCAGAAGAGAGAAAAAAGACAAAACAGGAAACCCTGTGGTGGACAGAGACTGACTGCCGCAGTGTGCGATTGTGTGTGAGCGTGCGTGTGCCGAGGGTGATGCGGTCAGCCCTGGTAAGGTATCAGTTGGCCACTAGGGGAGAACAAGGTGGCAGACTTCTTTATTGGTTTTTTTGGTTTTGGGGGGAGGGGGGGGGTATGATGGTATCTCAGGCTGCAGATGTGTCTCCTTTTGGTCTGGCTGTGACCTCCTGCTTTCACACCATCACAGCCCACCCACTCACCCTCCACCACCACCAAAACAAGAAAATAAACGTGGGGGTGGGGGGCAGCAATGAGAAGATAGTCTGTTCATTTTAGTTTTTAATGTACTGTACATGTGAAACTTCCACCAGCCACAGTGTTGTTGTGTTTTCAGTTTGGAGTATATCATTACCCTCCCACCTCAACCCCTTCTGCCATCTGTCACCCCTCACATCTACCCTTCATTTAATAAGCCATGCTCTCCACCCCCACCCCTTCGCTCATCACACCACAGATTGTTTTTCTCTGGACAGTGATGGACCTGCAGTGTTCAGTGGGGCTGTACATGCATCTTTTTTTTTTTTTTTCTTTCTTGTGGGTGGGGTTTGTTGTTGTTGCCCCCCCCCCCCCCCCCCCAAGCTCAGCATGGCCACAGCTCATTTTATTCTTTTGACAGGCATCAGTGTTTTTATTTTGTGCTACCCCACCACTCCCTCTCCCTCTGTGCTCCCTGTCTCCTGCCCCCTCCCCCCTCCTCTCTCTGTATATTAGACCACTTCTTGTCGTTTCAGGTTTCAGGACCAGTGGAGGCTGACGACCCCTCCCCAGGTGGCGCCGGCCCCCCCCACTGTCTCTGCAGCGTCTCTCTCTCTCTCTGCTCCCACTATGCACACTCACCCCATTCTGTCCGTGTGGGGGGGCGGGGGTGGGGGACAGGGGGACCACAGGCCTGCAGCAGGGGGCATTTACTACAACAGCAAACGCTGATGATGCTTTTAGTCCTTTTCACTCCAACACACGCACAGAGAGACACACACACACACACACACACACACACAGACATAGCCTGTAACTGGCAGCCAACCCTACACATGATTTCTATCCAGAGAGCTGAAGCCAACAGCTGAGTGGCAGAGAGAGTGAGGAGGGCAGGACCAGAGACCAGGGTGTACAGTGCAGACCTTATAGCGCCCCCTTTTTCTGACTTGGCGCAGTGCAGTCACGGCTTGTCTGAGGAAGGCTGACTAGGCTAATGGCATTGATTATTAATTTAATAAATGGAGTGGGCTGGAGCTGTTGTTTTAGGGTGGGGAAAGTCAGGGGTGGGGTTTGTGTGGCAAGTTTTCCTTTTTTTTTTTTTCTTTTTTTTTCCTTTTTCTTTTTGAAAAGGGGGAGTGGGTTTCCACAAATGTTTTGGTTTTTTTTTTATTTTATTTTTAACTCATGAGTCTGTAATTAGGGGAAAAAAAATAAAGACATTGTGTAAAAATGAGACTTTGTCTGTCACTTTGTCCTGAAAACTAATTGTGCAACTGGTGATAGTGTTATTTAAGGTCACGGCCCGTCTGGTCAGTTTAATAGAATCACAATCTATATATATTTGAGAATGAAGCAGATCCTATTGATCCGGAGTCTGAGCAGGTCAAAGCTTAAACATTTGATATTTAGACAAAGGACAACCTCTTACTGAGAAGCACGTCAAAGGTTTGACACTACTTGTTACATTGGGTATGACTGACCTTACTGCACATAAATTCTGGTCACTATATATTTTAATAGAGAGATGACGTTTCTAAGAGTGGTAGTTTCATGGTTTGCTGTGAAGCTCCTGAATGTTTTTCACAGCAGACAGACACAGCACCAAGTTACCTGGGAACTAAACACCAGTGCTTTTCTACTGCCACATGAGAAGTTTTTCTTTGCCTTGTGTTCAGTGGGATGGTGTGCATGCAGCACCAGGTTGTGATCAGGTCTTAGATCAACATCAGGCAGCTTCTTGAGACACTTTGTATATCAAACTGGACTAGATGGTTCTCTGTAGACCCTGTTCTTGCATGTCTTAACATGATGATAGCTCTTCCAGCAGCAGACGCTGATAGTGGAAAAGAATAGAATTAAGTGAGTCTTAAAATTAGCTAACTTTCAGTGTGTTTGTCCCAAAGATCTGTTATATGACTGCCCTCTAATGGAGGAAAATAAAAATAAAAAGTGTGACTAACAAATACAAGAGTCGACAGTAATGTTTATTATACAAAGTCAAACACTATAAAAAAAAAAATAATAAAGTGACAAATTTATTTTTAAAACCACTGAGTCAGTGAAGATATAATCCTGAAAACAATGTTGTATGAACTAAAACAATGATGGATGGTCACATCTTACATCAGTGGATACTGTGTTTCAGGTCTATCTGTGCTTCTTGAAAGCTGCACAGAAGAGAAATCTGATTATTACAATGAAATTTAAATACAAATAACAGCACTGATTGCTGCTTTTCATTTGAATAGGCTTGTGAAATGTGGAAACTAATTAGGTTAAACGTTGAAGACTTCAATTAGATACTTCATTTGTGTAAAAAGTTTTTCTCCTTTTAGAACTAAATGATCACATATTTGTGATGCAGCAAATGCTAGTAAAGTGTTGTAAATGCAGACTCAATACAGAGCCAGTGCTGGAGCAAAAGCAATGACAGAAATAGAAAGTATTTGTCCCTAATTTTTGCCTCTGTAGACAAATTTGTTCTGTCTGGTATATTTGATGTCCTTACCTCTTCTCTTGGTTTGCTTCTTCATCAGTTTCTTCTTTTTCTTGGGACGAGTGTGTTCTCCATCCTGCAAGGCAAAGCAGTCATTTACATAAAAACAAGACACAATGGTCCCATTCATCATGGACGGAAGTGAGCTGGTGGCTTCTGCTGCTGTCCGGTACAAAATCTAAATGTGACTCTGAATGACATTTCCACATCTACAAGCAGTGGAACGGACCATTAGCAAGGGCTGGCCATTCCTTACCCCATTCACTAGTAGTTTGTATGACAGCAGTGGTCGGCAACAGATGGCCTGCGGGCCAAGACTGACCCCTGGGCAGCCAAATTATTATAATTTTTTTTTATTAATCTTACCATATCAGACAGACAGTTCCGGATTTAGCTATAATGTCCACATAACCCCCACCTGAAGGATGCTGATTATATTTTTGTCCATGTTGAGGGCGAATGACAGACACAAACAGTCACGCATCAAGCTGCAGGCTTCGCTGTAGTCAGTGCACAGTGCCTGGTGCTAAAATAACTCCCCGTCATAGACCAACAGGTCCAATGGTTCTGTTGCTTGCTTGACAGACCTCTGAAAATAGCGGATGTAGGATGTGTGATATGAAAACACTAACACCAGTTCAGTAAATCAGTCAAACCTATAATATGTGAGTGTGGGCCACAGTGCCTCACATTTTTTACAGTAACAAAGTAAATTCTAGTTGCATTTTTATCAATCAATTTATTAGATTAGCTTTTGATTATGTTCTGGCCTGCCATAATTGGCCAATGGACTAAACTTTTGATTGTTCTTCATCCACAGTGTTTGGCGATTCTGTCAGAGCTCACCTGTCCGCCGTCGCCACCTGTTAGCCCCGTGATGTCACCGAAATGTGTGATGCTGCTCAGCTGGCCGGACATGGCCATCATGCCTCTCTTCCTAGTATTCTTCTGACGCTTTGGCATGTTGAGACGCACCATCATCGACTCCTCATAATTTTTTCTGTGAAGATGAAGAAGAAAAGAGAATAATTGTTCAACAACATTTAGAAAGCGTGAAGGCGCTTCCAAAAAAGTAAATTTTGGTTATATTTGACACAATGTTTTCTGAAACACACAGTGTGGAAGTGTAAAACTTCCTCATCAGATATTCAGTTAGAAATGTAACAGGTACGAGTGGCGTAGTGGTCTAAGCAGGCGCCCCATATGTAGAGGCTACAGTCCTTGCTGCAGTCGGCCCCAGTTCGAATCCCGCATCGGACGGCCCTTTACTGCATGTCATTCCCCCTCTCTCTGCCTCCCTATTTCCTGTCTCTCTATACTATCCTGTCCAATAAAGGCACAAAAGCCCCCCCCAAAAAAAAGAAATGTAACAGGTATTAATCCTACAGCTGTTCATATTTCTTGGTAACACTTCTGTCTTCTCTTTCATCTAATCACACAGATATCACATATCTCTGTTCAAAGAAGAGAAATGTCACATATGAAGAAAACCCATCAACCTGTGCGTCTCCTCGCGGCTTTCTCGTTCACTCTGGAAGTCTCGTCTGTCCCTGATCTCCTCAGGGGCATCGCTGTACTGCTGTCTCAGCTCCTGGATCACAGAGCTCCTCAGAGCTGCACGCCGCTGACACTCCAGCTGAGCCTTCCTTCTGTCGGTCTCGGTCATGTCCCCATCTGCAGGAACATGACAATACTGCTCTTATACACTGCTTTTTAAAAGTCTTCTTTGAAGTCTTTATTTCACAGCAATCAGATACACTTTCACAGGAATACTCTAACCAAAGAAGGAAAGTCTACCCTCTTTCATCTGTTAACAAAAGGAAGTAAAGAACAAAATGCTGTTTTTAAAAAAAGAGACATTACCATAATGCACTGGGGCAATCTTTGGCGGTACATATTTTCTGCCACTAGAGTGGGCTGCTCTCTTCTCTGAGGCTGCCTTCATTTCAGCTTCATCTTCAGACTCCTCAGATTCATCCAACTGGTTGATTGATCAGTAAGACAGAAAAAAATAAATAAGACTGTGACTAAAAAATGTCTGTTCACTATTTGCAAATTACATTTATGTTTAATTAATGACATCAGTGGTAGACTTTGAAAATGTCTTTAAACAATAATTGAAAAAAAAAAAAAAAAAAAAAAAAAATTAAAAAAAAAAAAAAAAAAAAAAAAAAGATTTTGACAGGTTACTCTACACTATATCCAATCATTAGAGATGATTTATGATACAAACTGTGACTAAACTGTGACACAGTATTCAGGACATACTTTGCTGATGAGATTCTCAGGATTAGGACGCAGCTGCAACTGGTCATTTTCAGCTGAAATCAACAAAAGCATGAGACACTGTTATTAAGAAGCCTTGCACTAGTGTTCAGTGTGTTAATGTGTAACTTGACTTTTTGGACTAGACAGCAACATGATGCTCAGCAGACAGAGCCAGTAGGAGGTGAACTTGATATAGATGTGGAGTCTTACACATTAATACTTATAATAGAAATAGAAGATTTCTTCATTCATAGTTTGTCTCCCTCAGGGAATAAAACTGCACAGGCTGTTATGTCCTTTAAGATATATCAAACACCATCCCAACTGTTAAACAAAGAAGTTTGTGAAACATGGTAGGTAGAAAATTTTGTCCTTCACAAACAGATTAAAAATCAGATCACTGATGGTTACATTTATCATAGACAACATCACATCATTCTTACCTAAACTGCCAGTAACAGCTGTACGCACCAGTTTATCAATCTGGTACTTAAGTTTGTGGTCTAGTGGCCGCATCTTCTCCAAGACCTTCAAAAAGGAAAAACTGATTAAACCCTGAATCAGCTGGACAGATAAGAATCAACTGCTTTATCATGACGTCTCACTGTTCTGATTGTGACCACTCTGTTCAAGGCTTCACTGTCTTTTATACTGCCTCCTTCGCTCTTAATGCTGATCAGGTTAGTGAGGTCCTGAAGGTAGAAGAGCAGCAGGTGATAGCGAAGGTCCAGGAAAGACAAACCCTGCAGAGAGAAGATCAACAAAGAGTCAGGGAGAGCAGTGTCTGTCTGACAGCTTGGACAGTTACACATGCCTTCATAAAGTTCAATTTCAAGAAACCTGTTCTCTTGTCATAGTCCAAACTCAACAAATAAAAACATGAAAATCTGGACCGCATTGCCACTTTACACAGAGACAACAGACAAACAGAGTACTGTATCCATGTGTGAAAACATAGTACACTGGTACAAATGTACTATGATCTACATATACTGCATAGGGCCTGTCCAAGGGACCGGAAAAGATGTGATCAGTTTAACCCTTGTGATACAAGACAGGGCCAGAAGATTAAATAACAAACGGAATACATTAGCTGATACTTGTGGGGGTAATTCTCTAATGGATTTGAAATTATTAATGAAATTAATAAAAAAAAGCAGACATGTAGTGAACCTCGGGGCCTTTGGCCTTTTATCCATCATTTATGTCCAGGAACAGATCTGATAAAGTCCCTGCTCACCTGTGATGTCTTAAATATCCCATCTTTGACTTTAGTTAGCAGCTCTCGGACATGACTCGTGACTGAGGCCACCTAAAGAGAAAAGAGACAGAGTTTCCACTGCTACAAAGACTCATGTACAGCTCCAAATAGACGTGCTAAAGTCATCATGAACCCTGACCAAGATAAACGATGGTAGACAGATTCTGTGAACATCTAAAAAAACAAAAAAAAAACAAGCAGCCCTTGTATATGATCCTAGACAAGGATCAGTACTAATTCAGTATTATTCTGCTTCTGACTGTGTAAAATCTGATAGTGTTTAACATGTTTGCATTGTTTCTTCGGACTTGTATTAAACAATAATAAACAAGAGAGTATCGCGTTATTGTCCCACCTGTTCTGTGAGATTATTCAGCAGCTCAACAGCTTTGGGCAAGTCACTTTCAATTAGATCCTGTCAGAAAGTTAAAGGAGAGACACAAAGATACTGTAAAAAATACAATTTCCAGTGTAGCAGAAAAGCTAAGTTAGCTGGTGGCTAGCTGGTTAGCTTTGTCTTTAAAAACAAAACCACAAAATCCAACATCTGAAAGTTGGTTTCAGAATATACTTTAAATAGCCGGATCAGTTTTAGTGTTAATATAAATCAAATAAATGAATAAATGAATGTATTCAGCAGGAGCTCTACTCACGTTGTCAGCAGGGTCAGCCATTTTGAGTTCACGTTGCTCTACGGAAGCCGCAGAGGCACGGATTAGGCGTTTTTATGATAGCACTTGTATCCTTCCGGTGTTAACGTGCGAACAGAAAATTTTCAAGTCTCGTCCGTTAGTAAATGAATTCATGTGACCTGCTGCGGAAAAGGGTTGCCTTTCCTGGAAGTCCCAGAATTAATAAACAAAATATAAATTGTCAACATTGTGGTAAATAATATAATAAATAATAAATAATCTGTAGATTTGCGTTTGTCTTTTTCTGTAATTTGAGTGCATGTGTGTGGGAGAAAGGAGGGGCAACAGAGGAAGTGATGGAGTGACCATCATCATCATCATCATCATCATCATCACTAGAGGAGTACCTGCCTCTGACTTTCAGACCATTTCCAATCACAGGAACCTGAAGAAGAGTCATGGTGAGTAACATCAGAACTTTACCCAGAGCTCTGAACCTATGTGCTTTAATACAACCTTTCACAAACTGACACTGTAACTTCTGCTGTATTTAGTAGCCTACTACTACTTCTACTGTGTGGAGAGATTTAAAAGAAATAGAAGAATAAGAATAGGGCTGCATCTAATTTTTATTGTAAGTGTCATTAATCAGCTGCTTAGTCTATCAATTAACTGATTAATTGTTTTGTCAGGTTGACAAAATTATCTGGAAAACAAGTTCATATATTTTAATATCCAAAAGAGCCAGGGTTTCCTGTCACAGACACCAGCAAATCTTTACATTTGTAGACCTGGAACCAGTGAATTTATTTGCTTGTAAAGTTACTTAAATTAGAAATTATTTATCAAAATTGTTGTTGATGAATTTGTCTAAAAGGTTAGTGAACCAATTACTCCAGATCTACTGTTACACTTATTAAACCTTATATTTTGAAGATAACTGCATTGTCTGACAACATTAGACATACACTGGTTAATTGGTCTGTTATATTAAATATAGGAATATATTGTTGAAAAGCCATCCATCCTCTTATATGAGCTTGATAACCTGCCTTCATCTTTAAAAGAAACAATATACAGAGGCATTTCTGTGGGCACCGATGGAAGAAGTATTAATACAAAATAAAAATAAAAGTAGACATCACACTGTAAAAATATTCTGTTATCACGCCGTAAAATTATTCTGTTGTTGGTAAAGTACTGCATTCTTATTTTAATTAAACTAAAAAGATATTATTAGCAAAGTGTTTTTTAGAATCAAAAGTAAAAGTACACAATATACAACAGAATGAGGCCTTTCAGGGATCTGAGTTATGATAAACTTTGATTATATATTATTAGGAAGATTTTTATGCTGCTGCTGGTCATTATTGGATAATGTAATCAACAAAAGTCAACACAAGTTCAGTTCAGTTGAGTTTAGTTCAGTTCAATTTTATTTCGATCAGTGTTAATAATTATACATAGTAAATACACATAGAAATAAAACACAACAATATTGGCTTAAAAGGTGTGGGCTGAAGCTATAGTTCATTACTCATTACACCTCCCCTCAATGCATAATGTTAAATGAAACAGCAACCTTATCACTACAGGCCAAGAAGAAGCAAAAACAGAAAGAAACGTTTCACTGCTGCATTTATGCAATGATAATGATCATATATCAGTTGTGTATCTATTTATCACCATATTTTTAAACTTTTTTTTTTTTAATTCACCAAGTGAACTATACATTCTTATTTCATTATCACAACTCATCCACAGGTTTACCCCTTTGACAGTTATACATCTTTTTATATTGGTCCTTATCCTTGCTTTTATGAATGTACTTATTCCCCTAAATTCAAACAGGTTCTGTCTGATTTCGAACAACCTCTGAATACAGTTTGGGACTAAATAATTTTGTGCTTTATACTTATCTGTGTAGTTTTAAAGTCAACCACATCATGAAAATTTAAAGCATATGAATGAATAAATATAGTGGGTTTGTTGGTTCAAAATAATCTGATTGATTGATGATTCTCATAGCTTTCTTCTCCAGCATGTAAATTGAGTTTGTGTTTGTTTGTAAGTGTTTCCCCATATCTCCACACAATAAGTAATGTATGGTAATATGAGAGAGCAGTATGATATATGTATTGATTTTTCATTTTTCATTTTGCCTTATGCAACACTGCCACAGTTTTAGACAGTTTTTGTCTTTACATTATTGATGTGAGGCTTCCAACATAATTTATTGTCAATAATGACACCCAGAAATGTATTTTCATACCCATTTTCATACTATTTTCATTGCCAAATATTATATACTTAGTCTTATATAAATTAAATGATAATTTGTTAGTGTCAAACCATGTCTTTACTGTTTTCAATTCTCCCCTCACTGAATTCAACTGTTCAAACTCTTTCCGGAGCAGTGTAAATTTGTGCCATCAGCAAAAAAAACAAATTTAAATAATTTGGACACGTTACAAATACAAACAATTTGTCAGTATTTCTTGTCAGTTACAGTTAACTGTTAAGGATAAAACCACAGTAAAGCTAAATTCTTGTTTCCACAGTGCATCACATTTTTTATGTAAACTTTTAATCTGAGAAATACTTAACTGTTTCCTCCTGCCTCTGGACCATGCAGATGTCTGATTCAAGGGTGTCCTCTTTCATCCAGGAGTGGGTGAGCTCATACCCGGGTCAGGCCCACATCCTGAACCCTGTCACCTCCGGCCAGGCTGGATCTACCAGTCACATGGCTCAAATAGACATGATACCATACAGCCAGTCCCAGGGAATGATGAGGGGGGATGGTGAGGACAGAGTGGCTGAGCAGATGATGGGATTGCCGTACCTTCCATACACAACATCCTGTCTCAGCAACACCTCAAGTGTGAGCACAAACCACAACCAGAGCCACACCAACACTCAACAGGTGACACAGAGGCTTTTGTGCACGATTGATACAAATGTCAAATTTTAGAAATGATCAGAGAGGAAAAATCATAAGCCTCCTCTGTCATCCTGCTCCCACACTTCCTAAGCACATTTGTGTTTGTGAACTCCAGGACTTCTCTCCCTTCCTCCTGCCAACTCTGAGGGCCCCGGTGACCAAGAGGAGCATCAGCAAAGACAGCGCAGAATACAGGCTGAGACGTGAGAGAAACAACATTGCTGTGAGGAAGAGCAGGGACAAGGCCCGCAGGAGGATCCTGCTGACCCAGCAGAGAGCTCTGCAGCTGCAAGAGGAGAACCACAAGCTGCAGATGAGGATAGGGCAGCTGACACAGGAGCTGGACACTCTCAAACACATCCTGTCACAGCGACATCTGCAGGGAACTGAAGAGGGAGCAGCAGCAGATTCCAGCATCTGAGCACAGTCTAAAACCACCTTCCCATTAATATCCAGTTCCAGTCATCACATTCATAATTAGTGTATAGGCATCCCTCCAACACTCAAAGTCAAAAGCCTGCTAGTGTTTTTTTTAGCTTTCACTGAGGCAAACATTTGTTATAATTTGAAAATGAAGTGTTGTATGGGGATGTAATACCAGGTATAAAGTGGTTAATTATAGTTTCAGATTGTAAAGTTTTGAAGAGAGAAAGCATAGCACACTGGCAGGACTGTAGTTCCACTGATGACACACGTGATGGGACATGCTATCTTTTTCAGCTTATTACACTTCTGCTTTTGAAATTTGGTTTTATGGAGGCTAAAAACGACGCCACCCTCCAACCTCTTCAGATATTGTTTCTTTCAGACACCCAGAGGCTCGACCGGCCTGCTCTAGTTCCAGATGCTAAGCTGTGATCAGACACTTCAGGTCCCTGTTTGTGAACTGAATTTATGTTGGGAAGTCAAATCTACAGACAATATAATAGTTAGCTTAATAAATAAAATATTTTATAATATCCCTAAAACTGAATGTATGAGGGTTACTTTTTGGTATTTTTCTTGGTAAAGGGGGATTTTGTCATGACCTCAGTATTTCTGAAATTGTGGCAATGGCCCTGCACACTGGAACTTTCAAGAAATTAATTAAACACCTGTACATTTTGAAAAACACAGTTACTGTTGTAGTATATATCCTGTTGGCAGAATGTGTGGTGGGTCTGAATTTAAATGCTGTAAATGCAGGGTCTCAAACATACAGTGAATCTAAATTCTGTGGAAAAGGACTATGATTATAGGGGAAATGTAAATACTGGACAAATGGGCAAAGAAGCTGGTCATATTTGTGTGTGACTCCTGAAGGCAGTGTCTTCAAACAGAGGACCACTCTGAGCTGTCCACTGGGTTGTTCTTTGATTTGATTGAACAAACGTTGCCTAATCACCTACCTGATGCTTCTTGTCATCGTCAGAGATGATTGTAAGTGTTGTTGCCCAACAGAGTTTCACAACAACCTGTGGTTTGTAAAGGATTCACTGAAATCTAAGTGTCTCTCTCTGTATAATACTCTAAGTGAGTGTGGGATTACTTGAAATTATTTGATGTAGTTTTAAATATGTAATTTTTTCACCTTTGCTCTTGTTGAATGTGTTGTATAAAGTTATAGTAATACATTGTTAAAGCAATACTTTGTCAGATATTTTCATATATAAATAAATAAATGCTTGTGCTTATATGAAACCATAATCTTTCATATGTGATATAAAAAAGTTTGGACAGCTGATGCTAATTTAACACAACAAAATACACAGTACAAAGGATACAGCTTCCTTAGACACCCTTTGATTAAAAGAACGTGATTATATTTTATCATTCCCACTGATCCTCCACTGTATCCTTCATCAGGGGACATGGTGTGCACCTGCCACATTATTTACCATAAATTGTCAACCCACAGAAACGGACATCATGCCATGGGCCGTTGTGCACCAGCGGTTTCCCTTTGTGGGATGGGCAAGATTTCAACACAGTGGAGGACGGAGATGAGGAGCAGAGATAGTATCAGTGTTTTTGGGCTGCCAGGGCCTTCCTGTGGCTGTGATGGTAATGAAGGGACAGAGAGATAGTGGGGGGGTGGGGGAGTTATATCATTGGTAAAACATTTCAACACTGTTAGAAAGAGACGTATGAGTCCACATGCAAAAATTGTTCAGAAATTTTCACATCTCATTTCAAATTAATGTTTGAAGCAATGAAGCAACACAGACATGAATGTTAAGTTCTCTTGTTAAACTTTTTACACAATGAAAACATCATGTCATCATTACATTGTTGAATTTATTAGAAAGATAAAACACTGTTTTAGAGCTGTCCAAGTTGTAAAATTATGTTAATATGCAATTCTACAACTCAGTGACCTGAACTGATAATAATTACACTACTTTAATCAGCACACACACACTGTTAACTGATTAATCCAACATAAACTAGACCTAATCACATCCAGTCTCTTAGTCTGAGTCTTTCATTAGATTACAGATGGCAGATCAGAGTGCAGCTCTGCACAGATAATATGTGTAAGTAATATTACAAGCTACAAATTTATTGGATTTTTAAAGCGACAGAAAACACAACACTCTACTTGTACAAAAGACAGAGAAGTGCAAACACTACTAGATTATTAGATGATGACCTCCAAAAACTGACTTTATCCTCCACATGAACATTAATGCTGATGAACGCTTCATTTACAAAGCAGAGTGAAAGTGTGACACAGGCCTGACATGTACTCAGAGGCACATAAAGAGTTGTTGTGTGACCGTGTCTGTTGAAATGTCCTGCAGCGCCGTGTGGGGTAATCTGTGGTCCCAGGACTGCAACATCTCCACAGAGTGAAGAAAGACTGTGTTTCACCTCATCCCTTCCACGTTACTCAACAGCAGCAGACCATATGAACCCCACCACAGCCCCATTGAAGCTGCTCCACTCTTACAGATACTTCTGTGGCAGTAACTAAGTGGCCAGTCAAACTTAAATCTCCAGAGCAGAGACTGATATCAACATACACACAGGTCAAGATCTAGGCCAAACATCAGAAACTTAAACCTTCTACCTCTATTTCAGGACTTCCACACTCAAACATTTACACATGTTCTCAAACAAAGGCAGCCCAGCACAACTCTGAGGTCAGACACCTGCTTCCCACCACACATTCAAAATTCTCTCCAGTGATGGTACCAAAATAATCAATGAGAAGGAGTCCTGCAATGATAGAGGCTCTGTGGTGGCGTGAAGTGTGGGTTGATTCATCTACTAGAGGGCATGTTGTTACTATTCACTTTTCATTTCTTTCTTTCTTAGAAGTAAAGCGATTTAAAGGATCTAACTTTCTGATTGTAAAGATAATGGATCTGTCATAAAGAAGAGCTGTTACCTTGGTGTTTAGAGGGGAAGTGGCAGCCATCATTGAAAGAAAATGTGTATAATCGAAGTCAACAACAGATGATGCAGCCACAATATTATTGTTATTATTATTAAGCTTATGATTTTCAAGGTAATATAACCACAATAACAAGACTAGAAACATAACTTAACATTAAATTACTAAATTAAATTTACTAGAATTTATTCTACAGACTGGTGGCCCTCACATCACACATCATGAAGACCCTGGAGCAGCTGCTTCTCTGCCTTCTGAGGCCACAGGTTGAACATGCACCGGGCCCCCTAAAGTTTGTTTACATTTGTCTGTCATCATCCACTCCAATATGTTCCTTACATATTGGAGTGGATGATGCCGTCCTTTACATGTTCCACTGGTCCCATTCTTACCTGGATGAGCCAGGTGGTTACATGATGATTATGTTCTTTGATTTTTCAAGTGCATTTAACACCATCCAACCCCAGATTCTTAAAGACAAGTTTGAAGGGATGGGGGTGTATACCTCCTTCAAGTCCTGGATTGTGGATTACCTGTCAAGACGACCACAGTACGTCAGGCTGGGTAACTGTGTTTCAGAGACAGTGATAAGCAGCACTGGGTCTCCACAGGGGACGGTTCTGGCTCTGTTCCTACAGGGATCTGACGATGGCCTTCAGTGAATGGAGCGACAAGAACTGCCTCCTTGTGAACACCTTGAAGACCAAGGAGATGGTCATCTACTTTCAGCCAGTCAACATTAGAGGGAAGGACACTGAGGTGGTGCACACTTATAAATACCTAGGTGTGCACCTGGAGAGTAAGCTGAACTGGTCCTTGAACATGGATGCCATTTACCGGAAGGGGCTGTCTCTTTTTCCTCAAGAGGCTCGGGTCCTTTGATGTCTGCAATGAAATGCTACATGTTTTATTAATCAGTAGTGGCCAGTGTCCTTGTTTATGCTACAGTCTGCTGGGCCAGCAGCATGTCAAAGATGAACACAAGCAGCCTGGACAAGCTGGTCAAAAAGCTGGGTTTGTGCTTGGCAGGAGTCTGGACTCACTCAGGACTCCTGTTGAGAGATGCATGCAATGTAAGATGCAGGCCATCTTGGACAATACCAACCACTCTCTTCACAACATTCTGGCTGGTCAGAATTCAGGTCATTCCCATAGAGAATGAATGGGGAGACGTCTTCAAAATGACCAACTCTGGAGCTCTACTGCTGAGTCATACTTCAATGTAGAAAAATGGTTGAAATGTTAAATGGGTAACAAGACTTGAGACTCTTTTGGGTTCAATAGGTATTTTGACACAAAATCGCAGTTTACGTTTTTTTAGACCGTTTCAGACTTTATAATGGGTGTGTATTGCATGGAATGTTCAGAGCTAGAGTGGATGACATCATCGCTAGAGTGGGAGAAGCTCTAGAACTCCTGAAAAAATTCTGTTTAACTCATCCTCATGGCCACATTCTGTATTTCAGTCTTCATGCATCACAGCTTCCTGGATAGTAGAAAAATTGTTTCATAGAATGTGTCTATCATAGAGACTTACAGAATTTGAATGTGAGCCTCAAAGTGATGGGAGTACCCTCCACCTCTCCCTTTGACTGCAATACAAATTCAGGAGCTGATTTCCCCAAAAATGCAGAAGTGACATTGTTCTGTAACTTGCTCCTTTGTCCACATCTTTGGCTCTAGAAACACCAAAGCCAGATCTGCAGTGCATTAAGGTCTTGTGCTTGTCATGGTCTGCTCATGGTGCTCATGGTTCTGAGAGGAGTTACCATTTTTTTTGAGAGGCTCACTGAGTCAAAATCTCACCCAGCTCTCTCTTCCAGCTAGACACAGGTGTTCGAACCAGCTTGTTAAGACTCTTTGATCTCTGTGAACACACACACACACACACACACACACACACACACACACACACACACACACACACACACACACGTATTGGCTAATTGGACAATTGGACCCCCCCCATTTTTATCACTTAAGGTAGGCTAAATAACAGAAACACCTCTGTATAATGTAATATACACTACATCCTCCACAGTGATCAATTGAATCAAAAACTGTCTGAGTATATTAATAATTATCAGGTGTATGCTCAGGCTCCAAAGTGCCTAACTGCAATTAATTGGTTGGTTTTGTTGCTGTTCTCACCTGGGAACTGATATATCTGGTAAACTAAAGATGTACTTAAATTTTATAGTTTCACCATATATTATTATGATCACCATATAACATTTTACCCATCCCCATTTTCAAATGTAACACCTTTACTCAGAAACATTTTAACTGACTTTGTTATTTTATCTGACAACATTTTTACTTCTACTGATGTCTTTTTACTAATACTGGTGACGACGTTAACGTGGTGGAGTACTGACGTCAGTGTGGTTTCCCATCCCATCTCCAGTCAGTTTCTATTACTTGCTATTTTCTTCATCCCATTGTCTAACTACCTGCTGTACATTTAAACTTACACTTGTTCTGCTCCAGCACTCTCTGCTACTTTTTGCGACTTTCACTAACTCCACAGTTGTTTACATGCTGTTCAGACCTGCTAGTTACTTTAGCTTAACAGTTAGCACTAGCTTCTCTCTCTCTCCCTCTCTCTTGCTCACTCCGTGTGGTGTTGCTGTAACTTCACTTTAGAGGATTGTGATATATATTACATCTTCAGCGTTGTCTGCTGTCTTTAGGCACAACTCCACTCGCTAACTGGAGCCAACTGCGCACTCCAACTGCCATCCTTAAAAATTTTCCTCAAAAAAGTCAGACAAGCTCTTTTAAATCCCACAATTTCCAACCTTCATTGACAATTTTTATACAAAAAATTGAGAGATTTTTAGAAACCATCAGTGTGAGGTTATTTTGGCCGGTCATGACATCTATCTATCTATCTATCTATCTATCTATCTATCTATCTATCTATCTATCTATCTATCTATCTTTTAAACCTAGAAACAAGGTAGCAGTGTTATTTCCCTGCTCAGGACACAGTATTGGAGAAGATTCAAGAACTCAGAAGTAAAGCAGTAAAGATGAAGCTGGACAACTCTATAGTGATGAATCTACTCGGCCCTACTGCTACCTCTATATATACTGCTCTTCAAGATCACTGGAGTAAATTTAACTGCTGTGTGGCAGCATAGTGATAAATATGACAGTAAATAAATGAGGGAACAGTATGTGACATTTCTCATCTGTGCAAACGTCATTTGAACTGTTGCATATTGAAAAAAACAAGGAGGTGCTATGGAGGTGCAGGACATCAGAGCTGTCCCTGTGGTGGTATGATTTATGGCTCCACCATGTGGCAGAGGTCTACATGTAGGCCTCCTGTAGCAGAGAGCACACAAATAACAGATGTCTCACTTCGCCACTGATTCCATGAACCATTTCTCCCATCACTACCAACTGATTAGCCACTGTAGAAAAAAATACTGTTTTTATCTAATCATGAATGTTTTACTGCCTTGTGCAAAAATGAAGCTAGTAACTGTAATACATGGGGGCTAGAACAAATCTATTGCTGCACATTTTACTTTCCAAACAGACTGGTTCTGTGTTGCTAGTCATGCATTCAGTCTCAAACAGAATAACAAAGGCACAAATCAAACCATTAAAGATCCAGTTTTACTTAATCATAACTGCATAATGAGGTTTAAAAATCATACAATATCGATACTGACCACTGTACTACTGCACCTTTCATACAAAGCAAGGTTTCAAGGTTTCTTGTAAAAAAACTCTTAGGTCTCCAAAACACTCTTAAAGCTCACTGACATAGCTATATTTAACCGTAGCATAAATAAAACATATAAATAACAAAAATGTGTAAATTCTGAAACAAAATATTAAGTATCAACATATCAATAACAAGCAGAAGTTCACAAGCATTAAGTAGCCAAAACAAGCAAAGTCTGATGACAGTCTGACAAGACTAATCTCTGACAGGCCTCAAATTATTATTCTTACTTTCAATGAATGTCTCAATTATTTTATCTTAAACAATGTATCATTTGGTCTTTGCAATCAATGTCACCGTTACACGGTTTCTTAATGCCCAAGGTAACGGTTCAAATGTCTTTTTTGATAAACCATTTCAAATTCAATTTGCTTCAGAAAATTAAAGAAACACAGAAACATGGGGGAACAGTTGGTATTCTCACTTGAAAAATGACATTAAATTCTTTTTAATTTTTATTACAGATTTTTACAAAACTAGACACACCGGAAAGACATTATAACACTACGAAGACATGACTATCACACAGACAAGACTCACAATAGAAAGGGACACAGGGGTGGTGGGGTTACAGTTTTAAAGTACTTAACTAGTACTTACTACACACAGTGTGTCGATAGGAACACAAGCATGTACATGATTTAACAACACAAACACATACTTTGCACACTCACATATTTTTACATCACATACTTTCGTCTTGAGCATAAACTCAAAAAAAGACATTACTTATAGTATTATAAGTCCAACAATGGTCATTATTATATTACAGGGAGAGGAGGGAGAGATGTTCTGAGTCCAGAAATTAACTTATTATCTCCCATATACCATCCCCTCCCCTGTCCAAACATGACAGAGATGCCGTAGCATCTTCCATGCTGATAAGATTAAGGAAGTCTAGGGCTGGATGCCCAGTAAGCATGTCTCTAGGCTAAGGCTTATGTGTTTAGAATGTTTGACAGAATATCTCTTATTCCCAGAGGGCTTTAACTGCTGGACAGTGCCATAGGGAGTGCACAAGAATGCCCGCCTCCCCACAACCATGCCAGCATAAGCCTGAGAGAGAATGATTCATCTTTTTAGGTCTGGAGGGGGTGATGTATGCTCTATGCAGTATTTTCAATTGTATTACTCTAAATCTTACACAGTTGGACAGTGTTGCTGAATGCCAGATTCTATCCCATTCATGTGGGGTATGTGAGATGCCAAGGTCTGTTTTTCTGTGCTTGAATACTGCTATTAGGGGAGGAAAGGAGAAGAAGCTTATATATACCTGCAACCATTCCCTTCTCATGTTCCAGTTTTTTAGGCCATCATCCAGATGATTATGGCAACCTATATGGGTGCCTTGTGAGGCTATTTTTGTTATAAATGCTTTTAACTGTAGATATGGGAGGAAGGAAAACAAAATTGCACAAAATAAGATATTAAAGAAACCAGTGAAGACATTAAAAATGATTGCACAAACAAAAAATATTAACTGCAAATGCAATATGCATAATGTAGCTGCATAATGTGTTGTACAGCACACATGGGCAAGTTTTGTCTGGTGCTGACAATCTGCTATTGTCTCGCTTTCATATTGAGTCCATCCAGCCGTCTGTTTGCCAAGGTGGAAGGTCTACATCTCCCTACCCAAGTGATTAGGTGATTACACGTTCTTTGTCTCCATTTGATAGGTGAATCTAGAACTAACAGATTTACTAAACTCAGTGAAACAGTTGTATTCACAGCATGTCTATACGTATTTTATATATCAGATATGTTGGAATTTTATTATTATATAAAAATAAAATAAAAGTGTTCATTTATGCTGTGTGCCATCTTCATTTACTCATAGCCAGTGAAATTTAGGCTGATACTTACACCTCTTGATGAATCTCACAAGTGTTACCTTGCTTTTGACAGAGTAAGAAGATTGAAGATTATACATGTAGACATCAGTCTAGATTTAACTGTAAATGAGTAAATGAAGATGGCAGACAGCGTAAATGAACAATTTAATTTCAGTTTAGTAACTCTGTGTGACTATTGCAAGCAGGGCAAAAGTTGGCAAACCAGATGTCAATAAAATGTATTACACAGCCAGCAGGTGAAAACAAAACCTAAATAGGCACAACATTAATATTTCCAAATTTCCCTGATGAATTTAATGTCAGGAGTAACGTTAGCCGACGTTAACTCTAGCTATTTATTGATTAGCAAACCACGTTACTATCGTCCAAAAGTAAGCTAGCAAGTTAACACTCTGCTCCAACAACGGTAACTACCAATGCAATAGACACTATTCATTTCATCACATTACTGTGCCTCTGTCTTTTCCCGTTTTTCCTCCTCTTCCTTTCTTCTTTTTCTTCCCTGCACACCAGAGAGCGTTGGTCGTTTTGACATAATGAAAGATATTCTGGGGTCAAGTCAGATAACTTGCCCATCCTTTAATAGATTTTGGTATGTATTTATGTTGTTGTGTGGGCTTGTGTAATATTTCGAAATAATAGTTGTAACAGTTGTAATAGTATAAGTAAATAGTAAAAAAAAAAGTAAAAAGTTAAACAGTTTTTTTCTTCCCCCATTTCCCCTCATAGATGACGGCAGCAGGCGCTGAGTGTAAGTGATAGGAATAGGTAGAATAATTTAGTGGTATGGGTTCACTTTTATTCCAATTTATTTTATATTCCGAAAATAACCTAAATGAATTAATTGTCTCTAATACCTTGGGGATAGAGGTGAGTGGATCGCTTAGAGTACAACAAAATATCATCAGCATACAAATTTATTTTAAACTGGTGTCCACCCACTCTGAATTTGTGGATTTTCATAGATTGCGCAAACGAAGGGCTCAAGAGCTAAAGTAAATATTAAGGGGGTTATCAGGCATTCTTGTCCCATGCCTCGATGTAACTGGAAAGGTTCCGGAAGAATGTTACTGCTCCTAACAGAGGAGACCGGCTCATGGTAGAGTGCTCTAAACCATTTCATACAGAAAGGGCCAAATCCATAATTTGACAAAATAGATATGGCCATTCTATCATATCAAATGCTTTCTCAGCATCCAGCGATGTTGCAACCGCTGGATGCTGGAGAGGACTAGCACTGTACATAACCTGAAATAACCTCCTCATGTTATTAGCTGTCTGGCGCCCGGCTTCGAATCACACCTGGTCCAGATTCACTAGAGATGGGACAACTCTCTCCAGATGGAGAGCTATGACTTTTACAAACACTTACTTATAGTCATTGTTCAGGAGGATAATCGCTCATTAGCTGGTGGTCCTTCGCAGGTTTTGGAAGAAGACTTATTATGGCAGTGCACATTGTGTAAGGCATTTCCTGATTGTCTATAATGTCATTATACAACTTAACCAACAATGGAGACAACACATCCAGAAAACACTTATAAAATTCATTTGTGAAACCATGCCCTCCAGGGGTCTGGAATTCCTTATGTGTGATAGGGGTCTCCAACTCCTCTTTCTGGGTTTCCTTTAATACAGGAAGTGTAACACTCTCCAAGAAATGATCCATGCTATTGCCTAGCACCGTGCACTCATCTTGATATAAATTTGGATAGAAATCTTTGAAACCATGATTAAGCAATTTTTGATCACTGACTTTTTACTAAAGTCAAAAAAAAAAATTACTCTAATTAATATTCCATTGTGAAAAAGTTAAATCATGTGTCTGTCCAACAACTAATTGATTAATTGATAATTGCTTTCATCTCTAACCTTCAATAACCATTATATAAAATAATAGGCCTATATACCCTGAAAACACAAGAGGGTAAGAATGTAATAATAAACACACAATTATAATTAGCCTACGATTACACTGGTCACTGGTTTCCTATAAATTAGAGCAGTCCATTCAGTGGTAACGGCCATAAATAAATAGGCTATAATCTGGACGTGATTGGCTGGTACAGATTTAGTATTATTATCTTCATGACCGAGACAGTTCTGGCCAGAAGAACGCTCCGATTCACTACTGAGTGATTCACCATCTCAGATAGACGATCTTCGACAGCAGTTATGCGAGGGGACGTCGCTTTCACGATTTGAGCCGTTTTTGTCAAAGTGTGCTGTGGCTGCTCGCTTCTTTAAATAGGCTTCTCCTGGTTGTTTATTTGCTCTTTGTCCGCCACCGGCACTATTCTGATGTCTACTTCAGGACTGTGAGTAACGTCGGCAGGCAGAGCCCTCGACTGAAGCAGCGACTGTAGCAGAATGGCGTAGCATCCCCGGCGGGCATCCCACATCTCCAAACAACACAGGGTTAGCTGTGCCCGGGACTAACAACAGTCCGGTGTCCTTTGTTGTGTTAGCAGCAGAACTGGTGTTTCTCAGAGACTACGACACTTCTCCGGGACAAAAATGCCTTTTCTTGTAACGGACAGAGCAGCCTGGAGTCGAGGCGCGGAGGAGATACGGTGACTGCGGAGAAAGTACTCTCTGCTGTGCCCCCCCCCCCCCCCATCAGACCGCAATGTTTGGACTTGTGGAAGAGACGACGGCCAGCAGTATCTCTGTGTACATTTAACTACGCTTTAAAGCGGTATGTAACGGCGGACATCTACTGCTGGTGCCAGGCGGACGCTGTAGCGGCAGCTATGCGCTTGTTTTATCGTGGCAGGTGTGAGTCTTGTCCGCTGCGGCTCGCCTGGCCCAGCTGCGTTAGTTAGCCCGATTATCATTTTATTCCGCTCACACCACTGCTCTGTTGTTTGGTGTGGTGCTACCGTGAAAAAGGCCGGCAAGCTAGTCCTCGGTGGGTTACAACCCCCCTCCCCGGGAAAAAACTCTTATGTAACCCTGTGGGATTCCTTTCTGTCAGACTTCCTGTGCAAGGAAACTGGAACACTGGCTGCTGGAGGAGAGCCATGTGCATTAAAATCGGGTTAGGACAGGGTTTGAACAGGCTCAGGCTGCTGATAACTGTTTTACTTGTGCTGTTACGTATTTAATGTCTCCACATGTACTTGTTTGAATACTGATAGCTATGCAGTCTGAATCATCCGTTACTGAGGCTCTTCCCTCATGGTGAGTTTGGTCTTTAGTGTGTGACAAGACTCTCAAAAACGTCAACAGGTCTGAATTAGGACAACTAACATTCATTTTCTTTGTCAGTTAATTGTTTGAGCTATACAAGGTCAGAACATGGAAAAAATTGCCCCTTACAATTTCCTGAAGCCCAAGTTGATGTTGTAAAATGTCTTGTTTTGGCTTAACAGCAGGTCAAAACCCCAAAGATGTTCACTTCATTGTCACACAAGGCAAGGGAAATCAGCAAATCCTCACAACTGAGAGGCTGGAACCAGTAACTCCTCAGAAATGATGTCAGTGATTAAAAATTTTGGAAATATCTGCTGAGTTTTGTTGTTGATGTTCCAAACCCACACCTAGGTATAAGTTGATATCTCATAATCCTGGCACCAAAGTGCCTTACTACAACACAACCTTTCTGTTTCAGTTTGGATGTGGCTGGGTATCATTAGATCACAAAAATAATTTGCTGCTGTATGGTTCAGTATTGTGTTGTTCAGCATTGTTTTTTTAATCTCTGAACAGATTTATGTCTTAAGTGTGACCTCACTCTGTCTCCTCTTACTCTGGAACTATCTGGAACTTTCCCATTTGGCTCAGCTGACAGTACAACATGGCTGATACTGCACATGTGGCGAGCACACATGAGCATATACAGAATCTGAAGTAAATTTTGTCAAGGAATACCATTCTATCACAAAATACTGTTGTAAGAACCTACATCCTGATGTGGATACTCTAAGTGTTCATTGCAGAAAAATAAATAATCTTCAATTTAATTTGCCTTAAAACAGATGTTATTACATATATGTGAGCATTGAAACATTCTCTATATGTAAAAAAAACATTTGTTTTAGTGTACATCATGTAGGCTACATTTAAAACGGGTTATCCTGTTGTTTTCTGTTATTCCTTTTGTTAAAGGCACAGTCAGAATTGTAATAGTAGGAAACAGGTGGCTCTATTCACTTTAGGGGTCTCATTAAATCATTACAGTGTGGCAGTGAACCAGCATGAACAGAAACAGAACCCTTAACTGTAAAATGTTGTGTTTCTTTTCCTCCACAGTGCTCTCCTACATCACCCCCTCCCACCTTCAACTCCCCCAATGATGACATCTCCGGACTCTCCCCCACTGGTATCCCCCTCCCCATGCCCTCCTCCCCCTCCGTCTCTTCCCTCCTCCCCCGTGCCCTCGTCCCCAGCCCCATCCTCCTCCTCCCTCCCCGCCCCACCCTCATTGCCACCCACAGGGGAGGTGATGGTGCTGGCTCTGGGCAGGAAGAAGCAGCGGGTGCTAATCGCTCTCTCAATCCTGCCCAACCTTTTCCTGGCCTTTCTGCTATCTTCTGACCCCCTCATCACCCTCTCCCCGCCCCACCACTGCCACCTGCCAGGGTCTCTGCAGTCCCTGGAGACCCTGAACACCTCCCTACCCTGGGAGAAGGGACAGAGGCCTGGGGATAGTGGGGGCCCATCCCAGTGTAAGCAGTACGTCAACAGCAGCCAGTCGGCTGTGGTGGACTGCGAGTCAGGCTGGGACTACAACATCACAGAAGGGCTGAGGAACAACATTGTTACTGAGGTAAAGCTCCGGACTGGATCCTGAGCTCTCTGATTGTGGTCCTGGTCTTGCTCACGGTTTTAGCTTCTTGTTGATGTGTTGACTAAAGTTTGTTTCTTACTTTTATTGTCTTGCTGAGCATGCAGTGTCTCTCTTTTTGCAATGCCCTGCTAAACTTTAATACAGCTGCACATATTTCTTGCTACCAAGCAGCTCCTTTGAGGACCAACTCAGTGTTTCCCATGTGTTCAGTCTCATTCCACTTTAAATGGCTCTTGTGTTAACTGTGCTCATTTTCTAAAACGTAAGAGCCTTGCATATTGCTGATTTATATCATATCTTATAGTTTCCTTTAGTAATGTTTTGGTTGTGTGCACAGTGATTGTTATGAAAACCCTTCCTTGTTGGTGCTGTCAAGGTTACTAACATCAAGAGATCTGGGAGATCCCTGATTCCATTTTCCCACACAAGTCTCCTGTTTGATGTATGTTACTGAATGCGCGCATTTACATTTGAGGTATTCATATGAGACAGATGTCACAAGCTGATCCCAGGTGCTGTTGTCCCATACACACTACTGCTAAACTACAGGATTACTTATCACAAACAAGGTTCTGTTTAGGTTAGCTATAGTGTGCACTCATACACTCACCCATTCACTCTGTGTTTTTGTTTCAATAGTCAAGCAGTTGGTTGTAGTTTACATCAGTGTTATTTAATAGAGTTCTTGACTCCAATAGAAATGCATTTTTGCCTTTGTTAAGGTGTCAGAGCGTGAGCGCAGAGATGTGATGGCATGCGGGGCAAAGCTTGTGAGTCTCACCTACATCACAGGATCAACCTGAAAGGGCTATGAGAGAGATATTATAATCAGAGTCATGTTTGAAAGTTCAGAAGTCAGTGTCCTTAAACATATAACTAAGGAAGACCAGTCCCTGCTTAAAACCAGACTGTGGCACTGAGACACTGAGAGAGACTGAATTAAAAGGACTCCCATGTACAAGAAATGTCTTAAAAGTTATGCTTTAGAATGGGATCAACAGCAGTTTGTATTTAATGGGATAAAACATGCACAAACAGGAATAATGCCTTTTAAATGTCTTGCTCTAGGGCACCAGAGAAACTGCTTATGAAGCAGGGATTGGGGAATATTAATTATTTGCCTGCAGGCCACAACTTGGCAACTCTAAACTAGAACTGTAACTCACTTCTAGTATTCATCACTGTGTATTTAAACAGCAGATAGGGGGAAGACAGTGGAAGAGAGAACATTTTGTTTCCCTTAGGCTGGTGGCCTGAGTGGAAACTCTTTGGCCTGTGGTCTGTTTTCATTTCTGTGCCTACTGATGTAGGAGCCACACCCAGTCCTCCAGCTCGTGGTATTAGAGCAGTTTACTGGTAATCCACCCACACCACTGCAGTGAGCTGAAATTAGCAAACGTTGCCAAGGGAAGCATTTAGCAGGAGCATGTTTGCAAATACATCTGTGTAGAGGAGGAGGAAGCTTATAGTGGTCTTCATCTCTCAGGTTTCATATTAGTATTGACATGGACAGACAAAGAGACATGTTTGGCTTTTGAGTTAGGTTTAACTCAAAAAGTATTTTCTACTGTCATAATGATCTGTTCCTCCAGCGCTGCTTTGCTTTGCTGAGCTGGCAGACTGATGGGCAGGAATTAGGAAGGTCTCTGATCAGCTTCACCTCTGCTGCTGATCAATAGATACTGTGTCACTGTACTAGAGGTGAACTCCACTGAACATTTCTATGCTGTGGATCTATGAGCTAATGCACAGAACATACTTCTTACTTTTTCTTCCTTTTGTCATAAGGGTTGGGAAAAATGTCAGGAAAAGAACCTGTAAACCACCAAAAATGTTGTAGCAGTACAGCACAACTGCATTCTTGAGATATCTGGGTGTATCAGGAACCTTGGGTCATATATCCACTCAATAAGCAGGGCTGCTTTAGCACTATGCCTTTGTTATAGGATGTTTGCATCAGTATAATTAAGTATATTGATTTGTCAGATACTTCATTTTCTGGATTAGCCGAACACAAACACCTATACAGAGTTTTTCGATGGATTTTTCCAGTAAATTTAATATATCACCATATTGACATCACTATAAAAAAATTATATATTATAAGAGAAGATTTTTAGATTAATGTCTAGTTGTCATCTTTCCTCAACCTGAAATATATGTAACCTCTCTCTGAAGTGTCAGTGAAGTTCATCCCACAGTGGCAGAAAGGCAGTGTTCCTATTCAAAGCATCTGGACTCAAAAATGTGAAAGGAAAAAATGGCTGCAGGTTTCTGGCCTTCCTAAAGGCACATACCTGATTGGTGCTTGAGTCTCATTCTCAAAACCGGTCTGAGGAGTTTCCAAATTTGTTTGTGTGCATTTTCCCTCCCTCTGTCATCCAAAGCATTCCACTCGTATGAGCACTGTGGGTTGCTGTGGTGCCCTTAACCGGTTACTGTGCACTGCTGTGACACTGTGCCTCAGCAACAGGCTGATATTATGTGACAGGGTTTTATGTTTCTGTGCATGGACTGATAATACAAGGCCTTTTTATCACCGGCCGTCTACTCTCCCCCTCTCCTCCCTCATTCTATTTATATGATTAAAATAATTTTGCTCTTAGTGGCCAGCAGACAGTGACATTAGCAGAGCTCAGCTGTTAGTGCAAACTAGTGTGTCACGACTTAGGGCCTGATTTACTAAAGCTTTGCGTGTGTAAAAACGTGCGCAAACGCGACAGCACGCGCAAACACATGTTGATGCTGATCTACCAACCGGGCGCACCGAGGATTGCGTCTGTCAGTCGGGCAAAATAACACGCGCTATCCATTTTGCGCTTCTGCCTTCATGAATATGCAATATAGGCGTGCCTGCCAGAACGCGCAAAATATTGGGAGGAGTAGATTCAAATAGAATCATTTTGCGCACGCAATGAGATTTACCAAACCTCAAACTAATTGCGCTGATTATTTTTGCGTCTATATTTAGCACGTTTGAAAGTCGAGTCTTAGGCTACCTGGCACAGCCGTGCGCACAGATGGCTGCGGTCATTGTTGCAAGGAGGCGGCGTAGGCACGACAGGCAACGGAGAGAACGCATCTTTTCTGTTTGTGTCACTCTTTCTGGAATGGCAGAAGAAAAAATAATCGAGACATATCGGTTATCCGGCGATGCCATGATTGTCCTTTGAAAAAGAAAAAAACAAAAAAGTCATTCGTTCAGAGTTCAGAAAATCCTTAAATAATAAATGTTGCATCATAATGTCAAGTGTTTCTTGTTTGTGCTATTTTGACAAAACCAAAAACTCACATTTTTATGTACTAAAGCCCACTTTCTTTTAGACATAGGAAACATTTAGTTCGGCCTAGTTCCTGTCATTTTTTCCTGAAACTTAAAACAAATGAAAACGCACACACTTCTGCGCCCCTGCTGGAACGCACAAACAAAAAAACCCTTTTGGCAATTACGCTTTTCCATTGCACAGCTAAAGAACGTTCATGACGCACGTTCATGTCTTATGTGGTGTACCTGAATGAATTAAAAATATTCCCTCTATCCCAGTAATCTGCTCATCACAGAACGTCAGCTGCACCTGCTATTCAATGGGAGACAGAGGGTCCTCCTCCGCCGGTCCTCCACCTGTTTTATTTGCCGATTTGTTATTCTGTGCGATTTTTTCCCTTTGTTCTTCTACGAATGTCTTGCCACCTTTTCTTCATTTCATCCGGTGTTCTTTTGGTTTCCCCCACAGCATTAACCTTGTCACAGATTGCCTCCCATATTGCGTTCCTCCTAATAACGGTTAAATTCCTTTGCTATAACTCAGAAATGTGCTTGTTTGCCTCTTGTACCAGCACCTCCAATTCCGGTCCAATTGGATCTGCTCATTTGGATTCGCCACGGTGAACACCCTTAACTCGCGCAAAATCCTCATTTAAATAGGGCCGGCTCGATCACTTTTGCGCCTGTAGTCAACTGCGCTGTTAATCTAAGTAAATCACTCGCAAGACCCAAACAGGCAGCGCGCGCAATCTATCCCTGTGCGCACGCAATTTAGCGCTCTTTATTTGGGATCTTAGTAAATCAGGCCCTTAGTGTAAAACTCTGATCTGAGAGCAGATATCTGTGCCTCTGTTTAACAGATGTGCCGACATTCAACTGTTCCTGTTCCTTGCAAGTATAACTAGAAATGACAGTAATACACCCACTGTCCTCTGACTGTCATGGCCACACACTCACGTGCTTACATTTTCCTGTGTTTGTATCACTAGTCTAAAGAAGGTTCAAAAGAGTCATTCCTGTGATGCCTGTGATGTCATTGGATCTAATCCAGTCCTGTTTACACCTGTGACTGTGCATGTAATTATTTACCAATGAGTAGAAATAATCCACATGGAAAATCCACAAAATACAATGAAAGCATGTGTGTTCTTACATCCAAAGATTTTCTTCAGCCATCTCTAGGAAGTCAATCTCTGAAATTGAAATGGTACTTCTTTGATAAACCTTATTTTGTATTTACACTTTAAATTTTTTTTTTTTAATAAAAGGGAGGATTAATAAAAAGTACATATAGGTGTAGACATAACATAAAAGCATCTTTATTATAATATGTGTAATTTGTTGGTGGTGATTTTTTTGGGTAACTTGTCCCAAAGCCTATGAACATTGAGAGTTAGTGCAGCATATATATATATATATATATATATATGTATGTGTGTATATTTGTATATAATATTACATTGTCAGATTTTCATATAAATGTAGCCAAAATGTCAGATAATGAGGTAAATCTATGCTAAAGTAAAATCCATGTGAGACAAAAGGTCAGGATCCAGTCTGTTCTGAACAATAGATGTCCAACAGGTTTTTGTACTTCCTGTATCGAGCTGAGATCAGGTCACAGATTTATGTATATGGTTGTCTGCTCCAAACTCAGCTCATTCTCCCAGAACCATCTGCTGTTGTAGACATTTAATGTCCTCCATCATTGAAATAATCCACATTGCAGTGGTATACTATCCATTTTTGATGACAGCAGAATAACATTTTACTTGCAACGTTTTTCACTTCAGTCTGCATTTTAGTGCATTTCCCATATTTACAACTATTAAACCAGGACAAAATGCAGTTTGAGATAATTAAAGACTTTTTGAACTGTGAATCATTCTAGTAGAGTCCCAGAATAAAAATAGAGAACTGGAAACAAGCATAATCGTCGCCTTTAACATAGGAAGTAGGGAAACTGTTAGTTGATTAATGGATGAGCCAACTGACAGAAAATTGATTGCCAAGGGTTTTGATAATCGTTTTAAGTTATTAGCAAGAAAAAATATGTGATTAAACTTATCTAATGTAAGGATTTGCTGTTGTTCTGTGTTTCATAGTGCTGTAATCCTTTGGGGTTTGGATGTAAACTTGAACCTTGACAAATAGTAATAGCACTTTTCACCATTCTCTCACATTTATAGGGTAACCTATTAGCTGAAAAATAATTGTCAGAATAGTGTGTGATATGTGTGATAGAGGTGCGCTGTGTATATAGCAAGAGCTGTATGAATGTGTATGCGAATGGGTGAATGCGAGTAGTAGTGTAAAGCGCTAAAGTTGCTATAACTGAATTTACTGGTAGGTATCAGCGTTTCTCACGTCATATTAACTGTTTTACTCATGGTTCTGACGATGTTGCTTATAATGGACAATCCACCTCTTTCACATGAATGCGCTCGTAGCTGAATAGGTAAACCCAGAGTTAACCAACTTGGTAGTATAGGTTATCCAGGACAGCCAATGTTAGGTTCAGTTGAGGCAGATAATGAAAAGATATCCTGGGTATGTTGAACTTGCTTTGTAGTAGAGGCCTCTGGTTCTACCTGGTTCAAACAAATGTTTACCGGATGTCTTACCTCTCTTGTGTTTGTGCTGTCCAGTGGGATCTGGTGTGTGGCCAATACTGGTTGGTTCCAGTGGAGGAGGTATGTTTCATCCTAGGTGTCCTGACTGGCTGTCTGGGTCTGGGCTATGCTGCTGACAGGTAATAAATGCGTACACACACACACACACACACACACACACACACACACACACACACACACACACACACACACACACACAGTTTTGTTAATAGGTCTGTGTGTCTGAATGCTTCTGTAAATGAGAGAATTCAGTTTTAGATTTTTAATACATTTGTAAAAAATTATAAAAACATGTTTTCACTTTGTCCCAGTGCAACTCAGTCTGTCTGTCTGCAGTGATCTTTGCTGTTGAGATCACTTTGTTCATCATTCTTCAGCACCTTGTCTTTACTTTGCAGTTTCACTACTTCAAAATTCTTCATGCAACACACAGAGACATGTCCACTGACACACACAATGTACAAAGAGTAGCTTGGTTGTTAATGTTCAAATGAAATTAGCTATAGATTTACTATGTCTGCCAGTGGTTCCTCTGTCAGTCAGCAGCTCGTGGCCACCAATCGATAGGAAGAAAGATTTAGTATCAAACGGCCCACAGGTCATCTGACTTGGCTTTTCATCACAGTAAGAAATCATTCTGTGGGAGAAGTGCTACTGTTTGCCACAGAAACATTGAAGAATATATTACAAACCAGTTTACTATGAACAAGCCATGAATGACATCAAAATAAATGCTAAAGAATTTGTAAGCTTTAGTTTGCTAAATTTTAGGATTTCAGGCTCGGCAGTCTGCATTAGACACACCCCAAATGCCTCAGATAATTGACATTATGGATCAGTCTGTATGTGCTGCATTGTTGGATTTAAAATCATCCCACAAGGGAAGCTGTAGTTGTGGGGGCATTGTGAGGTAGATGATGCCAGTTTAATCAGCTAACAGCCTTCATTAATTTGCTGACCAACTGAGCATAGCATCTGTTTGTTAAGACTGGTGAATTAATACTGCCTCCTGGGAACATACAAAAGAAGAAATGGGAACAGTACTAACCTACAGTGTGGAAACAAAACTGCTGCACCTACATGAAGCTGGGAATTGGCTAATCATCACATGTAGTGATCAGTTATACTTCAGACTTGAGCTGCAGAAGACACAGTATTCTGGTAATCATTATGATTGCATCAGCAGCTGAGACGGTGTGGCTGGTATTGTTTTCATCTTTTAAGAACTTTGGCAATTTAAGATAAACACAAGAAACTTGTGCTGTAAAAACTGGACCAGACTCAGTGAATAACTCCCTAAGCCCTATGGTAACTATTAATTCAGCTACACAGACTAATGAGCAGTGATAACTAACATGTCTTTGGGGTCATCAGGTGGGAACCTCCTTTCACCAGTGTTTCGTCTAGTTGGTCCCACGACACCTCCAGGAGGCTAGACAGTGATCACTGGCGTCCCAGAGTCATCCCCCTAATGCCAGCCATCACTGCTCCTCACACCACAACTATTTTCTCCTTTACCTTGCCTATGCTAACACAAACAACATCATCAACTCGGACAAAACACACTAGCAGATTCAGCAAACAAACTCCCCTAACCAGTTGGAGAAAATGGCAGCCATTTTGAATGAGGGAGGTAGAGTCAGGGAGAGGTGCCTGTTTGGGCTAGCTCTCCCCCGCCGGGTTAGGCTGTGCTCTACCTCCCCCTACTCCCCCACTCTCCAACAACTCACCTAAAACAAACAAACTCGCCTAGACAGTCAGAGACACACTACAGACCAATTCAGAGCAATACAAACAAACCAACTCACCTGAACTAACCGCATGGTCTCAAAGAGGCTCACACAGGCCACACCCTCCACTTAAAAACACTTCCTCTTCCTGGATTTTCTTCCTTGCTTCTCCTAAGAGTCTGTCTATCCTAAGTGCTCCCCCTGCTGGGCCCCCAGCTACCATTACTTCTTCTAATCCAAATCCACTGACTGGATCTTGCTGCCTCATCTGACATGTCTTTTACTATTTTCCTCACACTCTGTCCACTTGCTCCTAGCTCCCTTACCAAAGAGACAACAGACCTTGCTACAAATCCTCTACATCCTACTTCTACTGGACAAATCCTAACTTTCCATCCTCGCTGCTCTGCTTCTGCCCCTAACTCTGCATACCTGAGCTTTTTCCTTTCATATGCTTCTTCAACTGAAGCCTCCCACGGAACAGTCAACTCTATGAAATATACTTTCATTCTACTCCTAGACCACAAGACTATGTCAGGCCTTAACTTTGTACTGGCTATTTCCTGGGGAACAACAAGCTTTCCTCCTAAATCTACCTGCATTTCCCAATCACAAGCATCCTCTAAGCTGCCTTGCCTCCTTGCTGTCTTACCAACTTTCTCTCCCTCTTGCACAAACTTTATTGCAACTCTCTTTGTTTTAGACCCTCCTAAATTTGCCTGCCTCCGTAGGTCTTCTATTCCTGCAGCTAAGCTTTTTAAAACCTGGTTATGTCGCCACGTGTACCGGCCTTGCGACAGACTAACCTTACAGCCTGACAAAATGTGCTTTAGAGTTGCAGTACCTGAACACAATGCACATAGCGGGTCTCCATTTACCCAGAGTTTTAGGTTCTGGGGAGTTGGCAATACATCATATGTTGCCCCTATCAAGAATCTAATGCTACTTTCCTCCATACTCCACAGCTCTTTCCAGCTAAGCTTTTTCTTATCTACACCTTCCCAATTTAACCACTGTCCCTGCTTAGCCTGAGCCACTGCCTTTGCACCCCTTAATATCTCCTCCTGTCTACGAACCTGTTCCACCACTAGCTTTCTCTTTTCCTTGGGACCTGCTCTACTCCACACCGGTTTGCCTGGGCCAAGCCCCAAGCCTCCCCGGCCTATTTGGACATTACCCACAATCTCTGTATGCAGATATCTGTCTGTCTGTTTTTCACCACGATAGCATCACAACCTGAAAGTCAGAGGAAGGCTGAGTTCGAAGATGGGTGTGGTTTGAGCTAAGAGTACTGAATATTCATGTAATATCCATCCATTGGTCCATTCACCTGTCCCATTCTTGTGAATGCCATATCTCAGTAATGCCTTGAGGGAATTTCTTGAAATTTCGCATAAATGTCCACTTGGACTCAATGATGAACTGATTAGACTTTGGTGATCAAAGGTCAACGGTCAAGGTCACAGTGATCTCACATAACACAATTTTGGCCATAACTCACAGATTCATACACTAATTATGACAAAATTTTACTCAAATGTCTATTGGGATAAAATGAAGTGATGACATTTTATATCCAAAAGGTCAAAGGTCAATGTCACTGTGAGATCATAATGTTCTGCAAAATCACCTCTGGCTATTATTCAATGTTGTAGCTCAGGAAGGGGAAATTGTGACCATATTTCCTGTAACTTGCTTGGTTGATGGAGGAATACAACCCAGAAGTGGTAATTCCAGTTTCTTTTTGAAACAAACTTAGATAATATCTGTTTTGTATATATGTTTATATTTATTTATATTTTGTTAATAAACATTTTCTTTGAATTATTTGTAAATGACATGAAACTAGGAATGTGGTAACAGCATTGCAGATGATGATGACGAGGACGATGTTGATTATGTTGCAGAATTCACATGGTGGTTCCCCATTGTATCTTAACCCTTATATTCACAGTAGATTAATGTCTCTGCACTTTATTGCTTTTGTACACAAAACATGATTTTGGCCCTGTCAACGCAATATCGCAATAACGCCTTGAAGGAACTTCTTCAACTTTGGTACAAACGTCCACTTGGACTCAAGGACAAACTGATTAGACTTTTGTGGTCACAGGTCAAGGTCATGGTGACCTCACAAAACACTTTTAGCCATTACTCAAGACTTCACACAGAAATTATGACAAAATTTCACACAAATGGTTAATATTTTATGTGACTCAAGGGATATAATCCAAAACTAGTCTAAGTGGCAGAGGCATACAACTGCAAGGTGGTAATTAGTCTCATCTTATTATTGTGTGATGATAATAATAATAGAGTAATAGAGTACTGTGTATGTGGGATATATGTATGTATCTGTGTCTCTTCAGGCTGGGCAGGTCCAAGACTCTGCTGACCTCCCTGACTCTGTCGGTGGTGTTTGGGGTGCTGGTGTGTGTCTCTCCGTACCCCTCCATCTTCATTGTTATGCGTTTCTGCCTGGCGGCTGCTAGTGCAGGAGTCTACCTCACTCTGTACATCACCCGTGAGTACATTCAAACAACACCTCCTTTGTTTGAGTAAAATTCATAGATGATCTGTTACACACTATAGCAGACAGATAAACACAACTGACACAAACTGAGACGATCTGACTTGTTGAGGATTTTTGTTTTTCAGAATGAACCAGGTTGTTTTCCCTCTCTGGTCCAGCAACTAACTTTACCTGAGAGAGACTGAGTTAAATTATTCTGGATGTAACCATTCATTTACACTTTGTAAAAGTGGATGACTAATTCTAAATTTATCTAAATATCTATGTTTTGAATATGAAACAGTCTATGAACACGTAAAAAATGTAAGTTTGGGGTTTACTTACTCATGTAGTCATTATAGATTCATGCTGGTTAGAAAAAAAACATCTCAAACCAATTCTATAGCATAATCATAAAAATAAAATCTATGTTCTGCTTTCCACCCACATGGGCACTGCTTTCCAACTAAAATACAAATAAATACACTTCTTTCTTCACAGCTTTCATGCATCACCCTAGGTGTTTCTGGGTTTAGGTTTCCATTTTTGATAAGAGTTGGCAGATGAAAATCTGTCTTACTGTGTGGTGAAAGTATGTTTCATTTTGGTTCCACTAATATGAAACTGATGTAAACCACAAATAAACAGCAGAGATGGGAACTGTAAATATGAAGATTTATTAGGGTTGCTTTGTGTCTGTCAGGTCTGGAGCTGTGTGAGCCCTCTCTGAGGCTGGTGGTGACCATGCTGGCTGGTCTGATGACTGTCACCGGAGAGCTGCTGCTGCTGGCCGTGGCCTTGGGCTGCCAGTCCTGGAGGGGCCTGCTGGGAGCCGGGGCTGCACCACTAACACTGTTTCTCAGCTATAGGTACGAGTTTGGAGTCTTTTAAGATATCAGAAGCATTTTTTTTCTGAGAACTTGCAGAATTAGGCCAGGAGAAAGAAGGAACCTGATAGCCTTTTGATATTGTGAAGTGTAATAGTTGAAGTGTCTTGATGCCAACTGACTTCCTGAAAGCTTTGTTGGATTGTATTGATACCAGTTCCCTCACCACCCCAAGCCTTTTAGCTCATTTCAGAACACATCAGGACCACTTTGTTTAAGGTCCTCTAAGACCTCTGTTACAAGATAAGCCTTCATTGTAATTTCAAAATCAAAGTAACAGAGATTATACAGAGATTACTGGCTGTGAATTTCGGGTTTTAATAACAATGGAAGAAAAAGAATTCTTCCAAACTGGTTATTTTCCATGTTGAGGCAGCAAATCTGGGTTACAGCACAAAATCCTAATATGTCCAAATAGAGTTGGTGCTAGTGAAGGTAAGCATAGATCTAAGAATGAGTCAGGCTTGTGTTGTCTCTGGTCTCCTGCAGCATTCCTGGGGTTTTTCCAGAGTCCCCTCGCTGGCTCCTTCTGTCTGAGCGATCTGCAGACATGAACTCGTTCAGCGAGAGAAGAAACTCCAACAGAGATGTGAGGGATGACGAGAGCTTCACAGGTGTGTGTGCAGCAACAGCGTTTTCCTCACACTGCTTCTTAAAACAAGAGCAACTAATCAGTGTCAGGCTGAACAGATTCTGGTTCTTATTATATCTTATATCTTCATTTGAAAACATGAATACCTATCACACATCACTACCAAGAGTAGGTAATGATGCTCCATTATAATTCATTATTTATTAAAGACTCATAGGTCCTGCATAAAAATGAGATTTTAATGGAGCACAATGACCAAGCAGCAGCTACAAAATAATGTGAGCTGGACAGTTTACATGCATAAATGTGAGGAGTTTGCTCTTGTTTAGTGGCACTGTTGCCACTATGAGTTAAAAGCATCACATAATTCTACCAAGCGGTCATTCACAGACAATTGACAGTAATCATGTTTCTCACATTTGGTGAAAGTTAGACCCAGGCATCTGATGATATTGGAGGGGAAGAGAGTGCTGCATTAAACGAGCAGATGAACATTTGTTATATTTAACAATGTTTTCATGTTAGCACACTTGACATACTATAATTTACATATGTTTTTTCCCTCCAGTAATATCTATTTTTTTTTGTTGTTACTTCCTTATTTATGCAATAAATTATTGATCACAAAAAAACAATGTTTTTACAGCTAAAGGCTTAAGTAGAAGTCATCATCATTTTCAGTAGCAGCCTTCTTAAACATGTCATCAGAGTATTTGCAATTGACAATCTTGAAGTATCCATTATGTGATAAATATGATGTTTGAGCAGTTCATTAAAGAGAGTCCAGAACATCTGGGGTAAAGGTTCATCTGAGCCACCAAGCTCCTGGTGCATATTTATAATATTGGATTCAGACTAATTCGCATTTTATCTCTAAAATTGAAAGCAAATGTCTGCACTGTAGAAATCATGTTTTCACATCCTTGCCTTCATTATTTAGAGGTTTTTCTAGATGTTAAAAACCTCAGAGCACTGTTGGGCAGATGCATGGTATTGACACTGTGTTCACCAATGATCCTTGCCCAGTTAATTAATGATGTATGAATGAGTTGCAGCAGTAACATTTAACGCCCCGCTTGACACACTGTAATTGGATATAATGATATTTGATGAATGAAACTTCTTAACTCCTGTATAAAAAGATAATGAATGAGCGATAACAAAACTGTAATTACAGTTAATGATACATAATTCATTAACTGTCACATTCACATAAATAGGAATCATTCACTGGCAACAATTTATAACTGTGTTCAATAGTCAGAAATATAGATAGATAGATAGATACTTTATTTATCCCCTAGTGAAAATTTGTGTCCATTAGCTCATTGTTGATAATAATAATAATAATAATAATAATAATAATAATAATAATAATAATAATAATAATAACAGTTGGTAATAAATAAACAATAATAATTAGATTAGTTCACTTCCTTTGGCTGAGGTGTTGTATAGCCTGATGGCAGTGGGAACAAAGGATTTCCTGAACCTCTCTGTTCTGCAGCGCAGTGAGATGAGATGTTTGCTGCACCTATAGCTGCTTCTCTGTCCTGCCAGAATGTTGTGGAGAGGGTGGTTGGTATTGTCCAAGATGGCCTCCATCTTGCATGCGTCTCTCCACAACAGTCCTGAGTGAGTCCAGACTCCTGCCAGACCCAGCCTTTTTTACCAGCTTGTCCAGTCTCTTTGTGTTCATGTCGGACATGCTGCTGCCCCAGCAAACTGCAGCATAAAAAAGTACACTGGCCACCACTGACTGATAAAACATGTGCAGCATTTCACTGCAGACATCAAAGGACCTGAGCCTCATGAGGAAAAAGAGCTGGCTCTGCCCCTTCCGGTAGATGGCATCCATGTTCAGGGACCAGTCCAGGTGCACACCTAGGAATTTATAAGTGTGCACCACCTCGCTGTCCTTCCCTCAAGTGTTGACTGGCTGAAGGGTGGGCCTAGACCTCCGAAAGTCCATGACCATCTCCTTGGTCTTGGAGATGTTCAGAAGGAGGCAGTTCTTGTTGCTCCATTCACTGAATGCCATCGTCAGATCTCTGTATTCCTCTCCCTGCCTGTTTCTGATACGTGCCACAATAGCTGTGTCATCCAAGTATTTTTGGATGTGACAGGAATCAGAGTTGTATTTAAATCCTGCCGTATACAGGGTGAACAGGAATGGCGCCAGAACAGTCCCCTGTGGAGCCCCAGTGCTGCTCATGACTGTCCCTGAGAGACAGTTACCCAGCCTGATGTACTGTGGTCGTCTTGTCAGGTAATCAACAATCCAGGACGTGAAGCAGGGATCCTCCCCCATCCCTTCCAGCTTGTCTTTAAGGATGGGGGGTTGGATGGTGTTAAATGCACTTGAGAAATCAAAGAACATACCCCCTATGTAACTACTTGGATATATGTGGAGCTTTAAAGTTCATTCATTAAGTTAACTCGAGGTCTACTTGCTTGATTCCCGCAGAGCTTTCAGTCTTATTTAATTGCCTTCATCGGTGGATGAATTTAGCTAAATTTTCACAAAGACACAAGAAGAAGTGTTTATAAATAAATAAAATGAATAAATTAATTAAACATGTTATATGATTAGAGCTGTGGTATCTTGTCAGTCAGAGAGGGAGTTGTAGTCATTGACAAATGGTATAATAAACACTTTCCTGCTCACAGTTACTGAGTTAGTGTGTGGTATAAACTGAATTCTCTACTACTTATATCTGAATCAACTGAGCTTGTATGTCCCTGAAATTGACAGTGAGTTATTGTTAAAAGAGACAACATGTCCGGTCATTATTCTCTGTGTTGCTGAACTGTTTATTAAAAAGAAAAAATGTGTTTTTGTCCTGTTTGTTTCCTGCAGAGCTGGATTCAGAACCAGCCCCTTTTTCACGACCGCACCTGTCCTTCCCTGAACTCTTCCACAGCAGGAACATCTGGAAGAACATGTGTGTGCTCGGCTTCACCTCGTAAGTCTTCCCACACTTTGTCATTAATTCACAGGGTGTGTTGTTGTGGTAGTCTCATGTTTCAGTGTCTCCTCCACCTTTCTTTTTGAAACCAGTTTGTAAATCCTCAGCTGCTTGTGCTTTGTCTTTCTGTCCTTCCTCCCTCAGATTCATCTCCCATGGCATTAGTCACTGTTACAGCTCATTCCGAGGTGACGTCAGAGGCACCGCCCCCAGTTTCTACTGGATGTACCTGTTGTCTGTGTGTGCAGGAGGTGGTGCCTGGCTGTTGCTCTGGGCGACTGTGGACAGGTGCGGTCGGCGTGGCATTTTGCTCCTCTCCATGACAATGACGGGGCTGGCCTCTTTGATCCTCCTGGGACTCATGGAGTGTAAGTGGGCTTTAGTCAGCAGCAAGATGTTGTGTTCTCCAAGGACATCTCGAATAGTTTTTCCCCCACTACCCCAGAAGTCACCCCCTGCTGTTAGAGAACCAATATGGCCCTGTTCAGACCTGGCATTAACATGCATCTACAAGTGCATGTTGATTGACCACTTGTGATTGGATCTCACTTCCCCGCTTTATGTGCAAATAAACAGGAATTTGTTGTTTTTAGCCAATCCAACAGGTCCATTGTCGCTGTGCTTGTGTGTGTGTGTGTGTGTGTGAGTTAATGTGATGCGCACAGGTCTTATAATTAAATAATACCAGGTCTGAACAGGGCCTATGTCAGGCTTATGTCAGGATCCTCGCGTCCTTCAGTCCTTGACCAATGAAGGTAAAAGTTAGCTAATCTGATGCAGACCTCTGACCCAATGTCATATTAGATCATCATACACCATGTGTGTCATGTTGACCTTGTACTTTATGCATTATGAAATAGATTACAATAAAACTAGCCAGCCCTGTTCATTTGTTTTTCCTCAGCCTGGTGTAGAAACACACTGGCTCCCCCATGTGTCTGACGGTGAGAATGACATTGAGTTTATGTAGGACACTGCAGTGGAAGCAAAGTCAAAGCTGTGTCAGACTGTGCTTTAATCATGCTTCAGGGGCTCCGGCCAGAAGCAGTGGGCTGTAATGAGATTTTCTCTGTCTGCTGTTAGTGATGCTGAGGTCTGAACAAGCTTTAAGAAAAGATTAGATTGGCAGGCATCATGATATATCATCTGAAACTGAAAAGTAGAAATGCTGCGCTTGATCAGGGTAATGCATAATTACTGAAGGTAATGCATAATTATTGAAGCGTACCCCCACCCCACCCCTCCTTCTCTCTAGATCTCAGTGAGACGGCAATCACAGTTTTCTCAGTGCTGGGTCTGTTCTCCTCTCAGGCCACCGCCTCCCTCTGCATACTCTTCACTGCAGAGATCATGCCCACCATCATCAGGTAGGACAGCAAAGACAACACTTTGAAGTTCAAAAGCTAAATTGGCCTTTTCCTCACAGAGTTCTATAGTAAAAGTATAGTATCTGTTGAGATGTACAAGCTATTAGTATATCAGCTCAGGTAAGTGCTGCCAAAATTAATCAGGACATGGAAAATGCAATAAATTGTGACAGAGGAGAGGGAGTTTCTATCAATAGCTGTTAGTAATCATGAGAAGTTTCCTGACATCTGAAAACATTTCTGTTAACTGGGATCAACCTGAAATTACAGCTTGGCTTATGTTGTTTTGGGAAATAAATGGATAAAATGCTTCAGGCTGAGATTTTTTTTTGTTATTCAGTGAGCTTTAGAGGAGCTGATTGGAGGATTTAGTTTCCTTTGGACAGAGACAAACTAGCTATTTCCCCGTTTCCAGTCTTCATGTTAAGCTAAGCTAAGTGATTCAATTTCAATTTTCTTATCTAACTCTCTGCAAATCTGATTGGTGTGTCAGGGGCAGTGGTGTGGGCACTGTATTTGCCCTGGGCTGCGTGGGCCGTCTCAGCTCCCCGCTCATGGACCTGAGGAACCATTACGGCTACTTCCTGCACCATGTGGTCTACTCGTCACTGGCTCTGCTGGCCGTGCTGTCCATCCTGCTGCTGCCTGAGAGCAAGAGGAAGTCGCTGCCCCAGACGCTGGCTGAAGGGGAGCAGTACAGACGCCCCCCGTTGGGTAGGAGGAGGAGGGACAACGTGCCGCTGCTTGCAACACCCAATCCCGAGACCTAAAAGACCTGGAGAGAGGGGCCTAGACTGTGCTGAAATAAGTCAGCATGAGGCCAGAAGATTTACATTTGTCATGTTACTGCAGAGGAGAAGAAGGATAGAGCATCACAGAGACTTAAAGACGGATGAAGAATGAACGTGAATGAAGCTTCTTAACATATCATCCTCTAGTCATTCCAAACACAGACTGTTGGGTTGAGTGGCCATTTTTCTCCATCTTCCTGTTTCCTGTCATTCAGATATGTGTGAATGTGTCTGAACACACACGCATGCCACATCATCTTTCCTACATCTCTTCATGACAGACAGTGGGTGCACCCCACATGTGACACACCAGCATACACTGCTGGATGTCGTCATCCAGTGTGTTGGTTGTAGAGATGTTAGCTGCTTACTACTGACAGTCCAAATGTAGGTTCGGACAGTTGTCTTAAATTATTCTTAGTGTTTGTCTAAACCTGCATAGACCATTTTTGTCTTGTTTGCTGTATACAGCAAAACAAAACGTGCTCAGAAGTGTAAGGAAAGTAAATGAAAGTCAATTTTGTATACCTTTCTGTGATGTACAACTTAGCTGACACTACTAGGGATGCCCCAATTGATTGGCTGCCAATCATGATCGTCTGATTTTCATAAAAATAAGTGATCGGTAGATCTACAAATTATCCTAGTCACCAATAACCTTAAAACCGATCACTCGTGGTTAATACTCTTGTGTCCGTGGCGGAGAGAGGCACTGTGTGCTTTGTAGTGTAGTCCCGCCACCCACCTTCTTCACTGTGTGACAGGCCACTAAAACAAAACATTTCAGCCATGTGGACCACAAAATATAATGCAATGCAGGGCTCCAGACTAACTTTTCACTGGTTGCATGATTTGGTCTGGCGTATTTCTTCATGAAGGAGGCTCCAAGGCTTACTCTTCTTTAATCATATTAAATAAAAATGTAAAATTATATCACTAGATCACTAGAGCGCTGTCAGTATCTTTTCATGTAGCGACCTAAACTCACCACAGAGAAAAATGATTTTACAGAGTGTAAAATGTAGCTATTTGTGCTGTGAGAGACTGCATATGCTACTCACATGGTATTAGGTATACTGGGCAATTTAGAAAATATTAGTGTGATATGACGATATGATATTGAAGGGGACAGAGCTCAGCTCCACAGGGCCCTGGCCAAATTTAACCCCTGGCTCTGTTATAGGCAGAGTTTAATTTGATGACCATTTCGTTCTCCTGAAAAGATGAGGGGAGGGGCTCTGTCCAGGCAGGTTTTGTGCTTAAATTGCAGGAGTTAAAGCTTAAATTGTGTTGACTTGGTAGTAACAAGCGTTGTCTGCAGTGAACGGACCACATTGCTTACACTACGCACACAACATAGCATTGCCCACATACCACAACCACGGGTACTGAGTTAGCCCAATGTCTCTGTCTGTTCCTGTCTGCACCTGCATTCTGATGAAAGGTCAGGTAGTCAGACCGACTGAGCCAGTGAAGGAAAAAAAACAACGCAGTACATGCAGGGCACCAAAACAGCCTAATGAATAATGATCATGCAATGACCATGTGCAATTTTCACTCGCACACTCACAAAAAATAGTCACATATGTGTTGCAGTTTGGAGCCCTGTAGTGTCTGCCAAAAATGATCGGTATCTGCCGTGGATCGATTGATCTCATTCATAAATGATCGGTATTGGTGGCAAAAAAAACCTGATTGGGGCATCCCTACACTTCACCATTTGGCACTCCAAACAAGGACGGACCACAATTCTCACATGTATCATGTAACACTACAGGGGGTTGTTGGTGTTATTTGCCTTGTAAATACTCTAGACTTAGTTTCTTTAAATGCTGGGGGTATCTTAGTTTTGTTAAAGCAGACTTTGAGGTTGGTAACTGTACGCACAGTCTGCTATGCAGTGGAGAAGCGACACAGAGCATTTTGGATCATTATCTTGTAAGATGATGGTGGTTGATTTGACTTTCAAATGAGTTATTAATGTATTAATTATTAAATCTTGATATATAAGGGACACTTATGAACGTAAATCAGCTGTTATTAATATTAGGCTCAGAAGCAAGTAAACAGAACAAAAAGGCCTTCAATCAGAAAGGTATTCATATTCAAACTACGTGAATCCAGTTTCGAATCTGGCCTGGTGCCAGCTATATTTATATCTATTTATGTTGTTAATAAGCATAATCATTAAATTATCCACAGGCCAGGTATTTTTAAGTATTTATCTAAATATTGCTAAATTGGGTTGATCCAGTAACTGTCACAACATTCCTTTCTGCATATTTGAAGGCACTTGAAGGGCTTGTTTATCTCTCTTTCCTCAGAAGCTTAGTGATCAATACCTCTGTAGATGACCAGTCTCGGCTGTAAGATAATAGACGGGAACAAACAAACTACAGCAGAAGTTGTGTAACCAGGCACATATATTTTTGTCAGCACTTGGTACATGGAGGTCATCTGTATTTGAGCTGAATGTTTATTGATGGTGGAGACTGGGCCTAATGACGATTCTCCATGAAGCTTGAATGGGAGCTGAAAAGGGCCCCAGAGCTCCTCATCAACCCTTGACTCCTCCTCAATCATGCACCAAGGATGAAGGTTTTCTTCTTTATTTCCTGTGTGATGGCTGAAGTGGCATAATGACAGAGAATTGCCAAAGCAAGTCAGTTTCAGAGCTTCAAAAAATCCTGCTGTATGATGGTATGTTCAGGTAATTGTATGTCTCAAGTTTCCATGGGTGTGTGACAGTGGGAGGATGTGGGGGTTTTGATTTCGACTCTGATGTTGAGGAGTTATTAAAGAAATTATAAGCTTTGGTTGTTTTGATTTCCTTTGTATGTTGCACTCAACAACATTAATACACTGATTATTACTATCTCTATGATTAACTTGGCTCGAGTAATATAATGTCTGACAACACTGATGATCTGTTTAATGATAAGTGTGATGCTGTTCACTCTATAGACTGATTACATGTAAAATAAAACTGGTTAAAAAAACGAGACATGGGCATTTTGAAGACTTGTTTCAGTATGAATCATATTGCAGGATGACCACTGCTCCACCCGACGAGTTCTCACCTAAATGATAGAAAAGCTTTCCACACATTTAAATCAATGCAGTGTCACTTTATTTTCTAAGCTTTCAGCCTAGGGTCAGATCAGGGGATCTGAGTGGATCATCTGATGAAAATTTAAGTGTGTGGAAGTCGTTTTTATCATACAGTATGAATCCTGAAATACTGCTAGTATATGAAAATCAAACCAAAAATTAGACTTTGACACATTTTCCAATATAACTGGCTTAATCTATAAGAACACAGAAGGATAATTTGCACTTAGTTACTGGTAAATTATGAATTTTACTTTACAAAGACATATACCCTAATTAAGATGGATGTATTTTAGGTTTGGATCACACAGGTCTGAGATATTGAATACAGGGTCAAGCTTTAGCACTAAAACAGCAGCTTAGTGTATTTTGATGAGTCTAACGTTAAATACACAATGAATACACATAATAATGCCTAGGAAAGAATACCTTAAGGATATAAATATGTTACATGTCACAGCACACACTACACTTAACTATGTAACCATACACATTGTGTATTCAGTATTACTCAAACCTACACTACACAGTACCTTTATTTTTCAAAGGTTCCAAACACAGAGGAACTTCTGTGCATATGCTTTTTTCTGCAGTTTCTTTTTAATTTGAAATGGTGCAACTCTGAAGCTGTAATCAGATCATGTCTCAGATTGAAGTGTGTGTAATTCTATCTAATCTGATTTGGAAATGCCTCTCACTCTGTAAAAATCTGTTGTGCAGCTTGTCTGGAGGTGAAGTGTCCATGAGGCTGACTCTCATTCTATAAACATCACTTGTAAACACTTATTATTCAAACCTTTTTATTGACATTTACAAAAACCTATCAAAAACATACCAAAGAATATTCAGAATATATGCAGTAAACACACCAAATAACATAAAATATACAAAAACTCATAAATAAAAAAATAAAGATAATATTAAACTAGAATTACTGCCTCGTGGTTGTGCGCCTCCACCATTCAGACTAGTTGCAGATTACATCCCTGTTTATCCAGAATCATAAAAATTATTAACATTTTGTGTGAAATTTTGTCATAATTGATGTGTGAGGTCTTGAGTAATGGCTAAAAAAGTGTTTTCTGAGGTCATTGTGACCTTGACCTTTGACCACCAAGGTATAATCAGTCCAACATTTCTGCCGAATTTAAAGAAGTTCCGTCAAGGCATTACTGAGATATCATGTCCACGAGAATGGGATGTACGGACATACGGACAACCTGAAAACAATATACATGTCAGACCACGTTCATGATGATGCCAGTCTAAGAATTCTTCTGGAATGAAACAACCCTTAAACATTGTAGTCCCTTCCTGAACCATAGCTGAAAAGCAGAATCCACTTGTGAAAGTAGGAATAACCCATTGGATATAATAGGTAACAGGGTAAACGCCCGTTTTTGTTGTGTGACCTAAACTGAGACCATGCTTTCAGTGATCCATTCACAACCGGGTGGTAAGTGGGCAATAAACGGCCGGCAGTGCATGAGAGAGACTGAACTGCTTTGTTCGGGGCTGGGCTGGCTGTGGCACTGTGGCGGGAGAGTGCTGTTTGCAACTTTTAGTGTTGCCGACAGTAAAGACAGCTAAGCAGGGTATCTGTTTCCTGAGTTAGGAGGGGAGGCTGGTTGCCTATGGGGCTAAAACAGTGACAGTAAAATGTTAACATCAAAAATAAAATTTTACTTTAAATTTAACTAAGAGTTAACTTCAGCGCAGCCCGCTTTTATGTGAAAAAACAACAAAAAACAGCGGCAAAAAGAAACACTAGTTGTGGCTAAGGAGTTCCAGGGGAACTAAACGAGGCCATTGTCTACATATGCACCCATATAGGTGAGGGGATGGCGGGTTATGCCAGAGTGACGAGATTTCTTAGTATGCAAGTTATATTCAGATTATGTGTAGATCACACGCTCCTCACCCATCCCATCAAGCCCACCCAACGCTCTATGCCGAAACATTGACAGAAAGTTGTCACCAGAGATAAGCCTCAATTATTTTAAATTGTAATGTTTATATATTGTTGTTTTAAGAGCTCTTTGCCCTTGTTTATGTGGCAGTATAGTCTACGCTTTGCAGGTAATATACCTTGAACGCACCTTGATTGCCTAATAGCCTATCAGTGAGCAGGGGCTCGTATTTAAGACGGCCTTCTCCCCTGCTCTTCCGCTTTCCACATTGCTTCCGGTAAAAGGCCGGCTCCCTCTTTACCACTGCGTGCGTCCCGCTGTGTGTGCTGCTCTGTCGCTCCTGCATGCTCCTGTTTGGCGTGGTAAGTGTCCTCTCTCTGCATCATGGTATTTGTATGCCGACAGCTAATGCTAGTGTGGTCATAGGAAATGCTGATGTCCGGATTTGTCCCTCTCGTCCTCCCTCCTGTATGAGTGTGTGCGCGCATCCACTTCTGCTGAAGGTATGTCCTGTCTCTGTTGCAACTGCATCATTTTCAGTCTAAATTGTACAGTGCTAATAATATATTCTGGTTAGGTGAAACCACAGATCGGACGGCTGCTGCTTTGTCTCGGCTCTACTTCCAGCTTGTTTCCTGTTCTTGCCTGCTTTGCTGCTGTTGTTTTACTTGCTGCTTGGGTGGCGTTTCGGCGGTGTGCAGCTTTCGACGGACCTTTAAAGCCGTCGCTTTTCAAAATAAGACTGTTTGCCGCAGGCTACCTGGAGCCTTCAGGTTACTCACAGTACCTCTGCATGGCTTGCTTGTACTGAGCTGGATTTCCCTTTTTTAGTCGATTTAATTGTATGAGTGAGGTGTGGGTTGTATAAGTTGAATTTGGGTTAATTACTTAGGTTATTAATTTGTTTCATTTCTTTGG